TGGAGAAGGAAATGGCAACCCACTCCAGTGTTCTTGCCTGGAGAATCCCAGGGACGGGGGAGCCTGGTGGGCTGCCGTCTATGGGGTCGCACAGAGTCGGACACGACTGAAGTGACTCAGCAGCAGAGGTAGTGTAACCTATGGGGCCTTCCTGGAATAGACCCCACTTCCATGTCTTCCACCTGCCTCTTGTCTATAGAAAAGCTTTAGCCTCCTAGGCCTTCCTTGAGTTTCAAAGAGTGAATTTTGAGAAGAAAATGCAGAAAGAAAGGAAAACAGTCAAGACAAAATAAGAATAGTTTAGCCATTAAGCAAAGTCAAGGACGTTTATTTCCTCCTCAAGGGATGTAGACAATATTCTGAGCCGTGTCCTTCAAGCTGTCTTGCAGATACTGAATCCCCCACCAGGCAGACTTTAACTTTTCCCCACTTCGCCCCCCACCAAGCCTGTAGAACTCAAACGGTTTTGGAACGACAAGGTTGATGATGCTGATTCTTGATTACCTCACCACCACCTAATCGGAAGAATGTCCACGAGCTGATCACGCACCCCACAACCTCCCTCCCTCATCCTGTCTTTAAAACTCTTTCCCTGAAAATGAAAGCGTTAGTGCCTCAGTCCTGCCCGACTCTTTGAGACCCCTTGGCCCGCCACGGGGCGTGGGGGGGTGGTGGCCGGAGGGCGGGGAATGAATTTGGATGTGTTTGGAGCTGTGGCTACCAGGACGCCTTGCTTGGCAGCGATAAACGCTGCACTTCCCTTCACCACCACCAGGGATCAGTAGATTGGCTTTACTGTGCGCTGGTGAGCAAACTTGGTTCGGTAACAGGATTAACTCACATATATATTCACGTATACAAAAAGTGAGCAGGTGATATAAGCCAATACATAATTAAGGAAACAGGAAGCTGATAAGGAATAAATGGGGTGCTGGTCCCAACTTTGCCACATTTCCCCCATTTCCCCTCCATGTCGTCATCAATGAAGAGAGGTTCTTAGGTCTGACTCTGCGGTCCCAGACCACATAAATACAAATCAATAATTAATAAGGTGAAACACACCTCCTGACAGATGAGGAGTAGAAATGACAAGTGCGTATTTCCGGAGTTTGGAANTCATCAATGAAGAGAGGTTCTTAGGTCTGACTCTGCGGTCCCAGACCACATAAATACAAATCAATAATTAATAAGGTGAAACACACCTCCTGACAGATGAGGGGTAGAAATGACAAGTGCGTATTTCCGGAGTTTGGAAGTGAGAGAAATTAGTGGCCGAGACACTTGGACCTGATAAGGCTGGGCCAAGAGGTTATACCTTAGGCCGAACCACAAGGTCAAAGCAGGCCTCTCACTCCAGCAAGAGGGAGGAGCATCTCCGAGAGGAGGTGAGAGGCCCAGGAAGCAAGCAAAGATGAAAGGAAGGGAAAGAGCCTGGCATGGTCGGCTGAGGGCTAGTCCTGGGTAGGAGAGTGAAGAACAAAATGGTGGAAAGGAGTTGAAGTTTCTGCAGAGCCTTGAGTAGCATGATAATAAGGTTTGAAAGGAATCTGAGAACTGTGGGGTATACTTTTACAGAGAAAGTAAGGTCTTGAAGAGGTTATGGGAAACGCTTGTGGCCAAAACCCCAGTTTTCTTGCTCCTAATCCTTGTGTTCTTACCTGAGCTCTACAAACTGGTTCTCAAATTCTGCTGCACATGTGAATCACTGTCTGGTCTGCATGTGCTCGGCTGTGTCCAACTCTTTTGTGACCCATGGGTTGTAGCTTGCCAGGCTCCTCTGTCCACAGGATTTCCCAGCAATAATACTGGAGTAGGTTGCCGTTTCCTTCTCCAAGGGATCTTTCTACCCAGGGATCCAAACTGCATCTCCGGCATCGACAGGCAGATCCTTTACCACTGAGCTACCTGGGAAGCCCCTTGAATCACTGGGGACGTTTTTTAAAGCGTCCTCATACCCCAAGCATTCACTGAATTGGCAGGGGGCTTGCCCTAGACATGAGGAGTTCTAAAGCTCCCCAGGAGATTCCAATCTATAGCACAGCTTGGGAACCACTAGCCTAGTGGTAATGGGCAACCTCATGATGGAATCAGCACACAGGTGCCTAAAGTGCTAGTTTAGGAAAAGTAACCTGAACTCTACCTACACAAATCATTGGGAATGAAAGAAGAGTGGCAGGAGAACAGTAGATGACTTCTCCAGCTATTCAACTCCATAACCAGCCACCAACATTTACTTTCTGTAAGCCATAAGGCTATAAAGGATTGGACAACAGCAGAAAAGAAGAAAATAAAAATAATGGAGATGAGTCAATAATCTGATAGGAGGAATGAAGAAAAAGTAAATGATTGGAGTTTTTTAGGTCTAAGAGACTAAGAGGATGGTGACTCCATGACAGAGGCTGAGGAACTGGAATGGAGAGGGAAAAAGTGGTAAAGCTGATTAACTTTTATCAAAGAGCCTGATCAGAGACAGTCACCATGCGATATTTCTATTACACAGTGAGCTTACCATTTGCTTTGATATGCCATTAAAAGAGTAACAGTCATATTCTACTTCTAAACATGAGTAAAGCATCACTGCCATGATTCTCGACAGCAGGAGGCTAAGCTGTAATCAAGTCTGTTTTTCTAGATTTTTCTAAGTTCTATCCCCTACTCCTTTCTGCTCTCCTGATCAGCAGCCCACTTTGCAAGGAAGTTGACTGAGCACAGCAGAATGCCCCAGTATTTCACTTTCAACACCATGAGAAAGCTGCTAAGTTAAACTACTTGAGAGGAGGAGGAGAAATTATCAGTGCTTTTCCGCATTAACCGTGGAAGAGGCCTAGGGGTTTGGGGATAGTTTCCACCCACCTAAATGGATACCCTGGGACCGCTACCTTATTTCTAAGCTATATATCCTACTTTATGTGTAAAATGAGGGAATTAGCCTCCATGAAGTCGGAGGGCAACTTAGTCATCTGTATCAAGGGCCTTAAAGATGTTCATACTCTTGGACCCAGTAGCTCCACTTCTAGGAACTAAGTCAAGGAAGTGAGAGATGGAACTAAGGGGCCATCTTCCCAATTAAAAAAAAAAAAAGCAAAAAAACCCTAGTATTTTTTAAAAAGATACAAAGAGGGGAATGATTAAATCATACTGCATCATGGTTATTCACACGATACACTATTAAGCAACATAAAGATTGTTTTTGGTGAATATTAATGATACAGAGAAATGGTCCCTGTTTCTATAAAATACATTATATACACACATATATTATACAAAATAAAAAATTCATTTAAGAAGTCAACAATGGCAATTATTCCAGATGACAGAATTACAGATGGTTTTTTTTTCCCCTCTGCAAATATTCAGTATTTTCTGAATTTTTCTATCAGAGTGTTAAAATTAGGTGAAAAAAAAATAGTATGGAATCAGTTAAGCCATTGGTCCAGACAATCCAGATCCTAGGTAGATTAACTTTGATCTTGCAAAGTTAATCTCTTAATATCCAGACTGCAACTTAACTATAAACTATGTTAGAAGTACTAAAGTGAGACATATTCTCCAAAAAGAACCATGTAGAGCTAGAGGGTTTTTAATTAGTAAACAAAAAGCTCAAGTGAATATGCTATTGCAATAGGTTCCTTGGATCGGAATTTGTGTCTTTCATCATTCAGTCCTAGGGACTTGACTGTTGAATAAAAGACCCTTATCAGCTATTGTTTTACTGCGTAAGTTGCTGCTGTAGACAGTCTTCATGATACTGAGGTGAGGATAAAATACCTTATCAACAACCAGCATAATTTCCTTCCCAGATTCCTGTAAGCTTTTTTTGAAGGGCTCACAAGATCTAGACCCCAGCGTCAACTGGTTACTAACTCGCTGACTCCCGTGAATTCTGAACCTCCGTTTCGCTACCGGCGAAATAAGGAAATTCACCAGAGGGACTGGCGTTCTACAAAAAAAGGTTACTCTGACTTCACTTTCACAGGAGTCCCGGGGAAGCCTACATCAGCCAGTTCCACCACCAGGATGGAGATGCGGCTCAGAGATTCGGCGTTGGAACTCCCCCAAGGGTCCACCGCATCTCCCAACCCAGCCACCCCTGCAGGACAGAGAGTGTCGGCGGGATGCGGCGGAGCGCAACCCCTCAACCCCCGGCTCTCGGCGGCAGGAGGATCCCTGCTCCCCCACCCCTCATTCCGAAAGGCCCCCGGCCCCAATGCCTAGCGATCGCCCGCTCCCCGGAAGCCTGGTCTCCCCCGAGACCGTCCGAGCGCTGCCGCTTTCAACCGGGGCTCACCAGGGGTCCGGGGCCATGGTGCAGTCTCCACCCGCAGCTCGGACACTTCCTGCTCGCAGCAGCTGACTACGGCGGCCCGCGCGGCTCACACCCCGCGGCTCGACCCTTGCGCGCCCGGAACCCGGAGTTTGCAATATACATACCCTAAGGCCTCCAATCTATTGATAAGAGAAAAACGAAAGCGCTTCCCCGGGGACTGAGGGCCGGACCAGTTTGCCTCCTTTAAGAGACGCGAACAAAAAAAAAAAAAAAGAGAGAGAGAGAGACGAGAACAGCTGGGTGCAATTAAAATAAAATTGTTTTCGAACAAAATCCAACCATTTTTCCCGGAAGGTGGGAGCCCCTTAAGACCTCTAGCAGTTAACATTTTATTCTGCTTAAAACAAAGAAAAAAAAACTGGACTGTGGTGATAGTTGCACAAATTGTATAAATTTACTAAAACTCACTTTAAGTAAATTTTAGGATATGTAATTTATAACTCAATAGTTTAATTATTTTTTTAATCCTGCTTCAAGGGACCCAAAGAAGTGTCAACTATATATTATAGCAGCCTTCCCAGCAGAGGCATTCCTTTATGTTTAATTTTTAAATGCCATTAAGTACTTGATTATATCGTTACCCAAAAGGTCACAGACTCTTTACATGTGGGAGGAGGGAATTAGTCTGTGGATTTCGTGCCCCTTAAATTTCCAGAGAAATACTAGAAAGTTTAAAAAAAAAAAAAAAAGCCCTCTCTTGATTTTCGCGATGGCAAAAGGATACGGACTCGGTAGGCCGGCTTTCAGGGCGACCGTGGATCTGGCGCGCATGCGCAAGTCCGTTACCATAACGACCAGAAGACGCTACACCTCTGTAGGCTGTTAGGAAAGTGAGCAGAGTCTCCACATGATGGAGGCCCAAACTTCGCCCAAGGATGAGGTGGCTGAGGCGGCGGAGCTGGAGCTTGAGGCCGTGATCGGATTCAATGGTGAGACCTCGAGCGTGTCTGGGCTAGGTGGTTTAGCGGCCCCAGGGGCTGTGTGCTGCAACCAGGGAGAGTGACACCAGGTGGCACCTGGAAGGCAGCTTGGGACGCTGGCATGAGTCAAGCACTGGGGACCCAGACAGCCTCTCCTCCCCAAAGATCTCAGAGTCATGTCCTCGCTCCAGGCCTTAAAGAACGGGATGGGTTTTGCAAACCTCTGAAAGGAACCAAATGCCCCCTCACTAGGCCATAAGTATAAAATCTTTGTGTGTGATCTGAAACCCTTCTCCCACTAGCCAGCTCTCCCCTGGCTCTAAGCCCCACACAGCCAGCAAAACTGCTTGCCCCTCAGTATCGGATTACAGAATACTTCTAGGTCCCTCCGACCAAGTAACCTCTAAAATCCCAGTTGATGTACTAATGAGAAGGGGCCAGAGGGAGTGGGGAACTTGTGTTTTGAGTAACCACTTTAGGGGATTATTTGTCTTCTAACCAGAAGGAAGGTGAGGATTTCAGACCAGGATTGACACCAGGGGGAGCTGGAAGGGAGAGGTGCTTTGGTCAGAGGGGCCTGGTTGTTCTGCTTGAATCTGCCTTATGACCACCTCCTGTCTGGAACATGAAGAGGGGAAATGCTGTTTGGGTTTTGAGAAGGATGAAAACAAGTGATGGATTGTATTTTAGAAAAAGCCAACTTTTAAAGAAAGTGCATTGTGATGCCTGAAAGGTTTAAAATTGTAGTAATATAGACACAGAACAATCAATAACTAAAGCTTTAGCACATTCTAGGACTTGGCTCTTGAGTCCTCTTTGTTTTATGTTAATAGTCTCTGATAGAAATTGGGCGCTTAGTACATCCTATATACTGGCCATCTTTAGAGCTGGTCACCAGATCATTGGTAAACAAAGTGAGTGATCTGCTATGAGGGCAAAGGATCACACTGGTGACCAATAGAGAGCCCTGCTTCTGAATTCATACTATTTTGTAGTGCTCAGAGTATGGTCAGGTATATCTCAGTGTCTCCATTATCTTGGCCTTTTAAAATTCAATAAAATTGAATTGTTTTTGCCTTCTTGGTTTTGTGACAAGTTATATTCTTTCATGTAGTCAAATATGCATTTATCTAAAATTACTGAATGCCAAGTAGTATGGTGGGCTTCCCAGGTGCCTCACTGGTACCTGTCGATGCAGGAGACACCAGATGTGAGTCCCTTCCTGGGTTGGGAAAGTACCCTGGAGAAGGAAATTGCAACTCACTCCAATATTCTTGCCTAGATAATCCCATTGACAGAGGAACCTGTCCATGAGGTCACAGAGTTGGACACGACTGAGCACACATGCACACGTGCAAATAGTATGCTATGCACTGAGAATATAGAGTAATACAGGGGGTAACTCCACAGTCATACTTAAGAACAAGAGCTTAGAAAAGTGTAAAAATACAGTGAAACCCAAGGAAAAATCAACCATTATTACTTGTCCCAAAGATATCTCTGTTAAACTTTTGGTATGATCCTTTCAAACATACACTGACATATAATTTTTTAATAAAAGTGGATTCATGCTGTATGTATTCCCTTATAACCAGACTTTTTTCTACCTAGGATGCCCTGAAAATCTTTCCTTAGCAGTGAATATACTCTATACCAGCCTTGTCAGCAGAGTAAAATTACCTAATACTGCCCAACCCCCAAACGCACACACTTATTTTAGTTGAACTAAGGCTTATTTTAAAAGCCTTATGCTCTGAGACAAGTGCTCAGGCCTGGTGCACTGGGAAGACCCAGAGGGATCGGGTAGAGAGGGAGGTGGGAGGGGGGATCGGGATGGGGAATACATGTAAATCCATGGCTGATTCATGTCAATGTATGACAAAAACCACTACACTATTGTAAAGTGATTAGCCTCCAACTAATAAAAATAAATGAAAAATAAAATAAAATAAAAGCCTTATGCTCAGTCTAAATAAAAACAACTAGCCACTTCTGCCCTTGACTTTTATTATTTTCAATCTCTCTTTTAGGACATGTCCCCACTGGTCTAAAATGCCATCCTGACCAGGAGCATCTGGTCTACCCTCTGGGTTGCACCATCCTCATCCAGGCAATAAATACTCAAGAACAGAATTTCCTACACGGTCACAGCAACAATGTCTCCTGTGTGGCCATCTCCAAGAGTGGACTTTACATTGCATCTGGACAAGTCACATTCATGGGCTTTAAGGTGAATACCCTAAAATACCATCCACTGTGTATTGATTTAGAGGTGCCTCCCAAGAAAAACTGCCTCACTTCAGAATAGCTCTGTGCTGTCCTGTTTACACCCTTCCTCCTCTTCCCTTGACCTCTCTTAGAACTCATTTTCGCTCTGTGAGGCTGAAAGTAAAGGAACCCAGTGGTTTTATACCCAATGCAGCAGCTTGTGACTGGTAATACCTAGAAACAAAAGTCCCCGCTCACACCTGTTTCTGTTCTGTTGCTGTCATGTTCGGAAGATGTAGAAAAGTGATGAATGATTATTTTTTCACACAGAGGGGTAGCTCTCCCCTCTGGTTCTTTCAAAGCCTGTCTATGGTCTGACTGTGTATTCTTGCCCCCAGGCAGATATCATTTTGTGGGATTATAAGAAAAGGGAGCTGATGGCTCGGCTGTCACTTCACAAGGGCAAAATTGAAGCTCTGGCCTTTTCACCAAATGATATATACTTGGTATCACTAGGAGGCCCAGACGATGGAAGGTAATGAACTAAACACACTTACTTCTTTTCTACTAGGCATATTTCTAGACATGTTAACAACTGTCCCCTTTCTAGCATTCTCTGTTTGCCTATCCGTATTTGAGCATGTGTGATGTGAAAAGCTTATGAAGCTCATATGAATTTGGGAAATTATAAATTTTTGGTGAAAGAGTTTGAATTAAGCTGAAAAGACAGAAACAAATAACAAAGAAAATAATGTAACTATGAAAGTAAAGTACCTGCATATACATGTAGAACCAAACAACTGGGGAAAATGTTATAAAAAACACGTGTTAATTTTTAGTGGCCATCGATAATTTATAATATTTATAAATTTTTAAAGACTTAAAGTAGCACTGAAACAAGTATACTATCAAGGGTGAAACAGATCACCAGCCCAGGTTGGATGCATGAGACAAGTGCTCAGGGCTGGTGCACTGGGAAGACCCAGAGGGATGGGATGGAGAGGGAGGTGGGAGGGGGGATCGGGATGGGGAACACATGTAAATCCATGGCTGATTCATGTCAATGTATGGCAAAAACCACTACAATATTGTAAAGTAATTAGCCTCCAACTAATAAAAATAAATGGGAAAAAAAAGACTTAAAGTGCTTATAAAGAGTCCCCCAATGAGTTGGGAAATTTATATGCCCTATATTAAGAAAAAGCACAGAATAAAGAATTCTACTTATATGAAACTTCATCTGTATGAAAAGACTGCAAAGAAAAATGGTGAAAATTAAATATTCTGAAATATTAAGCATCAAAAGAAAAAAAATTTAAAAGCCTGTGAGGAAAATACCATAGGGTGCTGATTCTCAAGCCTGGCAGTGCACTGAAATCAACTGGGAGCTTTAGAAAATTACTGGTGGTTGGGTCCACCTTCAGAGACTTTGATTAATTGGCTTCAGTTTTAGTAGTTCTAAAGACTTCCCATGTGATCCTAATTTGCAGCTAAATCGAGAATCATTGCTGGAAAAGATGACATCATCCTTTTCATCATCAACCATAGCTGATTTTTTTTTTTTTTTGAGCGCTTACTGTAGATCAGATGTGTGCCGAGCATCTTAACTGCATTATCTCATTTAAGCCTTATGGCAACTCCACGAGGTGGTGCTCTGGGGCTAGATGACAAATGAGGAACTTGAGTCACCAGCTGCTAAGTAGTAGAGCTGGCGGACAGACCCTGAAGGGTGACTTCAGAGGTGGCATGTTTAACTTCCCTCACTAAGGCGTGACCTTTGCCCTCAAGGATCTCACAGTCAAGGTTAGTAGGGAGAGAATACATACAAATGATATTGGGGGAAAAGTATTTCAAACATTATATTAAGAAGAACAATCAGTGCAGTGCATATTTCTGTGTAAGTGCTAAAAGAACACCCGAGGTTTGTGTAGGACTTAATACTTCGGTGCACTTTTACAGATATTTTCTTGTTTGAGCTGCAAAGCTTAATTGCAATGGAAATTTATATTCATGTGTAGTTATATATTGATAGTTCTCAGTATATAGCGAAGTAGTCACATGTCCCTGGCCCATCCCTATTTGACTGTTTTTTTCCTCAATAGAAATGCATCCAGCAGTCTATTACTATTTTTAACTTATGGTAGCTGTTCTCAATCTTGGGTACACATTGAAATCTCCTGAGGAATCATTTTTGCCAGGATACTTTCCCAAGGACATTGTTTACATGTCATGCTGTGTAATCTTTGCTACAATCAGTTTTAGACCATTTTTAACCTCAGAAAGAAACCAGTGCCCATTAGCAGTCACCTCCCATTCCTGTTGTGTTAGTTCTTTCTGTGTAGCAAAGTGAGTCAGTTAAATGGAGATATATACCCATTCTTCTTTGGATTTCCTTCCCATTTAGGTCACCACAAAATCACTGAGTAGACTTCCCTGTGTGATACAGTAGATTCTCATTAGTTATCTATTTTATACATAGTAGTGTATATAGGCCGCGGGTTGATTCCTGGGTCGGGAAGATCCCCTGGAGAAGGGATAGGCTACCCACTTCAGTATTCATGGGCTTCCCTGGTGACATAGATAGTAAAGAAGCTGCCTGCAGTGTGGGTTCCCCTGGAGGAGGGCATGGCAACCCACTCCAGGATTCTTGCCTGGAGAATCCCCATGGACAGAGGAGCCTGGCGGGCTACAGTCCATGGAGTCGCAAAGAGTCAGACAAGGCTGAGCTACTAAGCATAGGACAGCACAGTGTATATGTGGAAAAGACCCAGATGCTGGGAAAGACTGAAGGCAAAAGGAGAAGGGGGCAGCAGAGGGTGAGGTGGTTAGGCAGCATCACTGACTCAATGGATATGACTTTGAGCAAACTCTGGGAGATAGTGGAGAACAGAGGAGCCTGGCAAGCTGCAGCCCATGGGGTTGCACAGAATCAGACATGACTGGGAGAGGAACAACAATAGGCATATATGTCAATGTCAGTCTCCCAATCCATCCCACCTCTGCTCGGAACCGCAAGTTCATTCTCTACATCTGCGACTCTATTTCTGCTTTGCTTGGCAAATAAGTTGGTCTCTACCGTTTTTCTAGATTCCACATATAAGCAATATTATGCAGTATTTGTTTGTCTCTTTCTGACTCACTTCACTCCATATGACAATCTTTAGGTCCATCCACATCTCTGCAATGATTCCAGTGTTTAACGTAATACCCCCTCCCCTGCATTCTTGATGTCATTAACCAAGCACTATCAATTTAGGACTAAATTGTATTACACCCAGAAAGATGCAAAGGTAAGCTACAACATGTTTGTGGGAGTGCTCAGTCGTGTCCGACTCTTTAGAAGCCCCAAGGACTGGGGCCTGCCAGGCTCCTCTGTCCATGGATATCCCAGACCAGAATACTGGAGTGGTTGCCATTTCCTACTCCAGGGAATCTTCCCGACTCAGGTATTGAACCTACGTCTTCTGTGTTTCTTGCATTTGCTGCTCTTTACCACTTAGCCACCTGCGAAGCCCTAAGCTACAACAGAACTGCTCTAAGTGTGGTCCCCAGACCAAAGCATCACCAGAGACTTTTTAGCAAAGCAGATTCTCAAACTCCACCCCAGACCTACTGAATCAGAATACCTGGGGGCATGTCCTAGCACTTCCGGCTTTGGCCAGTCCTCCAACTGAATCAGCTACATGGCACGGTCAAGTTTGAAAACATGCCTATGTCATTCTCTTTTATTGCTTCTAATTAACAATTTTTTTTTTTTTTGCTGGAGTATTTCCCCAAGGAAATTTTTTACAAGAGATAAATGAGTGGTAAACTTTTATGCCCTGCCTATCTCAAAAATCTCTTTATTTTAGCAAGAGACTTAGATGTCTAGGGATTAAGGGGATGGTCAATACAATTCTTTCATTCCTTTGTGAGTAACCTTTTGTATTTCTTTCCTTCTAGAACCACTAAAAGAGCCATTTCTTATTTTGAAAGTCCATTTCCCCCTGACCCTCTTTGTCCTTTCGTCCGGGCAGTGTGGTGGTCTGGAGCATAGACAAGAGAGAGGCCATCTGTGGCAGCCCCGCAGCCGGCCTCAATGTCGGGAACGCCACCACAGTCATCTTCTCCAAGTGCCGGGACGAGATGTTTGTCACTGCTGGAAAGTACGTGTCTGCTGTCAAGGTTTCCAGAACATGTAAATCACCCTACTTGCTTACAAAGAAAACACAGTCATTCCAATTAGGGGGAACATGGTTTTCATCCTGAAAAAAGAGATTCCATCATAATTTTCATAATTTGGGAGTCACTAAAAATCCCAGCTGTGCTACCAGTAAAGAACCTACCTGCCAATGCAGGAGCGACTTAGCACGCATGTAAAAATTATTTTGGCTGGAAGTCCTATGAAATACAGTTATTTGATCATTCTGTGCTTCCTACTGAAAAGAGTTCTGCTGATTGGCTAAATCCATTTCTGCCTCTGGTTTATCTGTTACTGATAACACACTACCCACAATCTGTGCTCGCACTCAGGGCATGTGTGCACATCGGTAACTTAGTCATGTCTGACTCCGCAAGACCATGGACTGTAGCCCACCAGGCTCCTCTGTCCATGAGAGTTCCCATGCAAGGATACTGGAGTGGGTTGCCATTTCCTTCTCCAGAGGATCTTCCTAACCCAGGAAGAAAAAGTTATCGCTCTTCAATAAGATTTCTGGTTTGGTACCCAACTATACTGGATTCTCTGTGACAATTCCAACTTCAGGTATTCATTATACCAAACCAAATGAAAAAGCCTGCAGATTCTAGTACTTCAGCATCCAAATGACAACCGTATCTTGGGGGAGATCACCAGGCCAAAACAAATCCTCAAAAATACCTAGTTCTCTTCCTTTCAGCTTCTCCTTCAAGAGACTGCAGAAAACAGAGAAGAGATGAAGCATTTATTAAATGGGTCTCCAGTTGATTGTTTCTTTTCTCTAGCGGGACAATTCGAGTATGGGAACTGGATCTCCCAAACAGAAAGATCTGGCCAACCGAGTGCCAAACAGGACAGATGAAAAGAATAGTCATGAGCATCTCAGTAAGAATTACTCTTGTTTTTTTACGTAAATGTTAGTACAAGTCCTTGTTAACAGTACTGAGCCAGACAGGGGTGTGTGTGTGTGTGTGTGTGTGTGTGTGTGTGTGTGTGTGTAGGTACATGTTCTTTGGGCTGGGGGTGGGGAAGGGAGCCCTGGACATGAAGGGCACTGACTGGGGAGGCACAGGTGAGGGAGTCTCACTTCAGCTCCTGTGGGAAGCTGGAGAGGCTGCCTAGACACAGCTCTGGGGAATCTGTTTCAGTGGACCTGAACTGCCATCAGACCCCAGGAATCTGCCTCACCTGGTGAGAAAAACAGGGTAGCCAGGAGGTGCTCAGAGCCCAAAGCATCTCCCATTGCCACTCATGTTATTTCTGCACAAGAAATAAAGTTTCTAACAATGAAACTCCTTGTTGAAATGCAGTCTCCTTCACAAAGAGGAATTATTCATGTGTCTTTAATGTGGACTCAGATATTCATGCATGTAACCCCATTCTCCACTGCGTTTTATGAATGTAGACTTTGGGAAATAGGAGATAAAGCAAATACATATTCTCTCTGGAGGAGCACACCTTCACCCTAGGAGCTCTTCGGAGATGCCTCAGGGAGTGCATGCCAATAGAAGACATAAGTCCATTTCAGTGAAATTCACACCTGATTGGAGCCTGATGTTTCATACAGTTCTGAGTTTGGCCCTGATTCTGCTCCCCTTGAAGGTGTTCTTACCCATCCTCGAGTCTGAGGAGATAGAAGTCACCTTGAGGACTTTTGGAGGTCTTCATAGGGTTCAGAGAAGGCTCATCCCCTCCCTGATCAGGGGCACCTGGGCATCACTGGGCAAACCAGGTCTTCAGGTTTCCTTGTCTCTCTCATCCCCAGATGGCCAATGACGATAGCTTTTTCTACCTTGGCACCACCACTGGAGATATTTTAAAAATGAATCCCAGGACAAAGCTGCTGGCAGACACAGGGCCTGCCAAGGACAAGTTCAGTCTGGTGAGTAGAGACCATCAAAGTCTGCTTGCCCTGCTGTTTTCTAGTGATTTCTTCCTGCCACTGCCAGCACAGACGTCCATCAAGGGTTTGTGGGGAGAAACAACACATCTATGATGCACCCAAGGCCACACTGCAATTTGCAATGTTCATTGACTAGTTCACTCAAACCCTCATCACTGGTGTATATTCAGGATATCACAGGTGTCCTCTATTAGGGGTCAAAAATCACACTTTTTTTTTTTTTTTTGCATTTTTCAAAGCTCAAGGCCTGTGATTTTGTAATGTAAAAATCACACTTTTTTTTTTTTTTTTTGCATTTTCAAAGCTCAAGGCCTGTGATTTTGTAATGTGTAATCACATCCATTCCAGCATTTGGGCAGTCCAGTTGCCATGTGTAAGTGACTTGTGCTCTTTGACTTACAAGACTATCTGTCATTTCTTTCTAATCTAATAACTAGATCTTAAACTTTAGCCTCAGCTGACATTTTAAGTCATGAGCAAGATGTAGAAATTGTTCATTGTTTATATTTGTGGAATTCCTAACAATTCAGGTTAAAAGTCCAGTAAGAGACTTTGATCTCTAAACCAAAATAAAAAGCCTACAATCAGAGGGTAATTGGACAGAATAAGTGCTATTATTTCCAGTGCCCCCAGAAAGTTACAAGGGCTGTTTCTACTAAACTTTGGATTTGAGAGCTTCTTCCAGGTTCTGCACCTGTCTGTCTCATGTCTGATAATGGAACAGATGGTTCAAGCTTAGATAATTTTCCACTTAGCTGATGGCCCCAAGAAGCTTTGAAATATTGCAACATGTTCCTGGGAAGGTGTTAGAGTTTTCTTAGTCACATAACCACTTACTATTCAAGCTTTTAAGGAGATGGGTAAGAATGGGAGAAAGCTACAGTATAGGTAGAGAAGAGTCTAACAAAAGCAGAGTCTGGTCAGAGGCACAGGCCAAATCAATGTTTTTCAAATGATTTTTAGGAGAGGGATTCCAATATATTTAGCAGATGAAACCAAATCAGATCAGGCTGAAGGAGGGCAAGGTTGACAGTCTTGCCAATTCTGACTCCTGGATACCTATGAAGGGCTCCATGAAACAGTTGGTGAAAATTCTGATCTGGATATTTTTGCTGAGTACTTGGAATGTCGGTGCCTCTCCAGAAATGATGCTGACTGTCTCAGTGTTCTTCAAACCTGTGACACTTAAGTTTTTCCCATGGATGCTTTAGTGCTTAATTCAGGTGTAAAAGTAAATACAATAAAGCAATGTTTCCAAGATGCCTGTTACACAAGTGGAAAGATGTAATTCTTTTAGGGCAAAGGGACTGGAGGTATTTGGTTTGAATATCAAGACAGTTGGTTTGAATATCAAATAATTCTTTATCTTTCTAACCATAGAGCCTTTTTTAATTTAGATTTTTGTTTTTTATTGAAGTATTCAGTTGGCCAAAAAGCTCATTTGGGTTTTCCATACATCTCACAGAAAACACCAAATGAATTTTATGGACAAACCAACGTAATTAACTTACAATATCTAGAGCAAGGGGGCTCCCCTGATTGCTCAGCGGTAAAAAAGTCTGCTTGCCAAGTAGGAGACATGGGTTCCATCCATGGGTCAGGAAGATTCCTCTAGAAGAGGAATGGCAACCCCCTCCAGTATTCCTTGCCTGGAAAATTCCATGGACAGAGGAATCTAGTGGGTTGCAGTCTATGGGTCCACAAAGAGTCAGACACAACTGAGCATGCATGCACACATACATATACATATATCCACTCTCTTTTGAATTTCCTTCTTATTTGGGTCAGCACAGAGCACTGAGTTCCCTGAGCTCTATACCATAGGTTCTCATTAGTTATCTATTTTATACATAGTATCAATAGTGTCTATGTGTCATACAGAGTAAAGTCAAGTCAGAAAGAGAAAAACAAAAATTGTATATTGATATATATATGTGGAATCTAGAAAAATGGGACAGATGGTCTTATTTGCAAAGCAAAAATAGAGATGCATCGATTCCTAATGATGAAACCATTTGGTCTTTTTTTCCTTAACACTCTCTGTCCCCCTAGGGAGTATCAGCTATCAGTTGCCTGCACATGGGGGGTTTGTTGGTGGGCTCTGGAGATGGATTGCTGGTCTTCTGTAAAAGCCCCAGCTACAAACCCATCAAGTAAGTTACCCCACAGGGTTTGGATGAGGAGAGACCCTCTAGAGACAGGTTTGCTTAAAGTCGGCAATTAAGTGAGGTGGACAAAGTGATATTTGGTTTAAAATAAATCTCATCTTGCTGTTAAAATGAGTAGTTGGAAACATAATAGATGGTGGTTTTTGCCAATGAAAAGATTCCACTTGTTAGACATGGAGTGAATGAAGTGTTTATTGGCCATGGTCATTTGTACCCATTTATTTGTCTGGAATGTTCCCTGAATCTAAATCCTACTTGTGTTCCACCACCCATTTAGGGGGACATCTCACTGTAAACTTCCTTGATTATCATAACCCACGTGGTCTTCCCCCTTTGCTGACCATGGGCACTTGATATTGTTAACTCCTGCCTTTCCAACTGTGTGACCTCCTTGAAGGCAGGACTCAGGTTCTTATGCCTGATATATATCCTCTATAACACTTTAGACAGTTAATGCTCATCAACTGAGTAAATCTTCTTCACCTTTTGCTTCTCCTTAAAGGAAAATCCAGTTACAAGGTGGAGTCACCTCTATCACACTTCGAGGGGAAGGACACCAGTTCTTTGTAGGAACAGAAGAATCACACATTTATCGTGTCAGTTTCACTAATTTCAAAGAGACTCTCATCACAACTTGTCACTTTGAATCTGTTGAGGACATTGTCTTCCCATTGTAAGTAGAAGAGCATAAAAGTGATAAGAGTGTAGAGATTTGATGCCATGTGCAAGGAAATTTAATTTTATTAACACATTTTCATCTACTAACATAATCAATCATGATAAATCATAATGTAATTTACTCAGTTCTGTCTGGCCACAGCAAAGATTTGAAACATCAAACCAGTGTTACAGCTTGGTTACAACTCAAGAGTTTTATTCAGCAAGCAAAGGATAGTACATCTTTAAGGCATGAGTGTGGGCCGACCCCAAAGGAGAGGCCTCAATCCTCCTTGGCTTTATTCCTCCATTTATTCATTTGTCTCCTCCCTGCTGAGCCTGCTCTATGCAGTTGGGCTAGCCAAGAAGGGGGTGTGTTTGTTTCATCTGATGTTCTCACTCCAGTCCATGGATATTCTTTTGTTCCATTTTCGAGGGCTTTTTCCTTTCTTTGTCTTTTAGCCACCACCATTTTTTACTCCTTTTTCCTATTCTAACGACCTACAATAATAAATTATTATTTTTTCTCCATAAATTTTTCTACAGTAGTGAATTATGTTAATAGATTTTCTTTGCCCTTTATCAAGCAGCTACATTCATTTTATGATTCAAATTTGGGCCTCTTTAGAATGTTGGCTTTTCTAGTAAATTCATTATGGAAAAGGTGAACAGACTAAAAACTTTTCTGTTTTTCCACTGCTGTCTGGAGCAAAACTTAGTAGTGCCTTTTTTCAAACATCTTTCAAGTCATTTGTTTGCACCTCTTGTGTCTTCCAGATTTGGCTTGCCTGATGGCAGTGGCCATAAGATTAAGAGTTCTTCTGAATCTAGTTGCTATATATATCGGTAAATCCCTCACAAAACAGTGAAACATATAACCACAAGCAGTTTTAATGTCAAACAGAGCTGTCATCAGAGTTTGTCATTATTTGATTATGAAGCCTATTTATCTTTGGTGAGATTTGTCCCATAAAGTTGGTCACAGTTTTTGCTCTGAACTTCTTCAGTAATTCATTTGAATTTACAAAACTCAAGGTCATTGTATAGGCAGCAAGGCTCTTTGAAAACTTAGTCCTTGAGGTCACCAAATGTAGTTTTGGTTTCCTGAACCCTTGTGATTAGGTCCCTCCTATTTCTAATAGTGAAAATGGCTGGTGTCTCCCATCAGGTGAATTTTTATTTGAAAATTGGTCATTTCCTTTTTGTGTCATTTTTCCTCTCTTTTACTAAGGAGCTTGGTAGAATCAATCTGTAAAATATTTGGTCCTGGTGTCTTTTGTAAGCGTAAGTTTTTAAATGTCTTTTCAATTTCTTATGCAGTATTTAATCTATTCAGGTTTCGTACCCCTTTCTTTTTAACAACTCTATTGAAATATAATTTACATATCATAAAATTCACCCACAATACAATTCAATGGCTTTCTTAGGGGCATATTAACAGAGTTTTGCAACCATTATCATCATCTAATTTTAGAACATTTTATATCTCCTGAAAGAAACATCCTAGCAGTCACTTTAAGCCTCTAAGGTTCAGCTTTCAGCCACCCAAACTGAGCACAGTTGGTGAATGTAGTCAGTTAAAAAAGGTTGGAAAAAAAAAAAAAAAAAAAGCTCTCAGATTGATCCATATAGTGGTGACCTCAAAAACAGAATCTTAAAATTTTTTTAAAAGAAAGAAAAAAAAAATAGAATTTTAAAAAGAAAATTAGTGTCCTCTCTGGTCTCTGCCTCCTGTTTTTTGGTTTTTTTTTTTTCTTTCCTCTCAAGGTTCCCTGCACCCCCCCCATGTGTAGAATTCAGCTGGCACACAGGAATTGGGGCAGTTTTTAATAATCAGAATTTAGGTCTTCCTCTTATGATTCTCTTGCTGCCAGGATTTTCCCTTTAAATTCCAGATGAATTTTCCAGCCCCTTACTCTGATGGCTGGCACCTTTAGTCAGTGAGGCTGTGGTTTTTCTACCTGGGCCCCCAGCAGTGAAATCTCCCAGTCCTAATAACTGGGCCACCAGGGAACTCCCCATCAAATGCCATTCTGCACAAGGAATCTGTAAAGCCATTAAGCCTGAGATAATAGGTATCTAAAAGAATCCTGGTGGCTTCCCTGGTGGCTCAGATGGTAAAGAATCTGCCTGCAATGTGGGAGACCTGGGTTCGATCCCTGGATTGGGACGATCCCCTGGAGACGGAAATGGCAACCCACTCCAGTATTCTTGTTTGGAGAATTCCTTAGGGGTTATCCATGGGGTCCATGGGGTCGCAAAGAGTCAGACACAACTGTGCGATTCACACTTTCAAAAAGCATCCTTCCCTACATCCTCAAGAAGCCCATTTTAGCGTCAAAGCTGCATCTGAGAAACACTGTGCGTCTTGCGCAGCTGCATGTCTCACCCTCCTGGTGCCTTCTCCGCAGTGGCACCGCCGAGCTCTTCGCCACCTGCGCCAAGAAGGACATTCGAGTGTGGCACACGCTGACCAACAGGGAGCTGCTGCGGATCACTGTGCCCAACATGACCTGCCATGGCATCGATTTCATGCGGGACGGCAAGAGCATCATTTCCGGTAAGGTCGGCATGCCAGGTTGACTTCCGGTTCCGGCTGTGGCTTTGGTTCTTGTCAGTCTTTTCCTACGAGGCTCCACGTGTGGATGACCTGGCACCGCCTCCCACGGTCTGCTTGCTTCGCATCTAGCCTGTCTTTGGAATTCCCTTCCAGCTAGGATTCTTTCTGAGCTAGGAATTACCAAACAGCAATTTCTCTTCCCGCGCGTTGCTGCATATAGCATGTTGCTTTCTTTCTGGCCAGGAAAATTCAGTGATTCACTTCACAGGGTGGATTTGAGGCCTTAGCGAGTCCAGGGTTCTTGTGTGGGAACTCTTTTTGTTGCTCAAGAGATTAAAAACCTGACTTTAAGTTGTAGCTCCAAGGGAATTTATTTTTAATTCAGTTGATTATGTTGTGCCAAAATATTTTAACATGAATTATAGACACCATGATATTCTATTTCTGAAGACTTAAGTATGCATCTCTGAAGATATTTTCCTATGAAATAATAATTTCTTAATATTGTCTATGTTCAATCCATATATAAATTTCCCCAGCAGTCAAAAGTGAATTACTGGTTCACATCAATGAAAAGTCAAGTGAGTCTTTAGGGGCAGGTATTAAAATGGTGATATCAGGGGAATTCCCTGGAAGTTCAGCTGTTAGGACTACATACTTCCACTGCAGGAGGCACTGGTTCGATCCCTGGTCAGGGAACTAAGATTGTGTGTGCCTGGATGCAGCCAAAACAATCATAATAATAATATAAAATGGTGATATCAGGACCCATCTCACTGCCCTCTCTTCTTGGCTTTGTCTCCTTGTGCTGCTTCTACCTTGGGGCATGTCTTCTCCACATAGTGGTCCCCAGTAGCTCTTGACTTGCATTACACTTAGAGCTAACAAATCCTGGGGTCAAAAATCTTGGCATCATCATCACATCTCTTTTTGTCTTATACCAAAACCCCATTTCTCCTGCTCCAATGGCTCCCTCTTCAGAGTATATCCAAGATTCCATGCATCTTATCATCTCCACCCTCATGTCGCTCACTACCACCATCTCTCTCCTAGATTATTCTGGTAGCTTCCTATCAGGACTCCCTGCTTCTACCCTCACCTGTACCCTTCTTCTGTGATCCGCTCTCAACGCAGAAGCCAGGAAAATCTTTAATTTGTAAGACTATGCCATTTCTAGTACTCAAAGGTTTTTTTCCTTTTTCTTTTAAGACTTTTTTTTTTTAAATGTGGACCATTTTTATAAAGTCTTTATTGAATTTGTTACAATATTGCTTCTGTTTTATGTTTTGGTTTTTGGCCAGGAGGCATGTGGCATCTTGATGTTAGCTCCCTAATGAGTGATTGAACCTGCAACCCCTGCATTAGGAGGCGAAGTCTTAACCACTAGACGGCCAGGGAAGTCCCCAGGGCTGACATGCTTTTAAACAGAACTCTTCTGGAAGCTGACTTCTGATCTCTGGTTGACATCCCAGTTGCAATATCAACCATCTAGTTGAATGTGCAAGTTTTACAGCTCATGGGAGAGGTGGGGGTTGGCCTCCCCACCTCTGTCTCCTGGGGTGGGGTGCACCTGGAGGCAGGCTTAGCTAAGGCGAGCTGTTCATTTCCTTTGGGAGGTGTGACCAGTTTGGGGAATCAAGGAAAAAGGGGCTGTGATTCCTGGCAGTGGTTGGGGGACTGGCCTCTTCCCTCCATCACCACCACTGTCCCCTCACATCCTGTCTCTTGTTTAGGATTTAGAGTATGCTCATCCTGCCTGCCTTCTCTTTCCCTTTCATGCCAGCGTGGGACGATGGTAGAATCCGAGCCTTCGCCCCGGAGACAGGCCGACTGATGTATGTTATTAACAATGCCCACAGGATTGGCGTAACCGCCATCGCCACCACCAGCGACTATAAGAGGATCATCAGCGGCGGAGGAGAAGGGGAGGTACTGTTCTCCAGGGCAGAATCTTTTAAAAATAGCTGCGTATTTAGAGCAAATGCCCCATTTGTTATTGTTGTTCAGTCAGCAAGTTGTGTCTGACTCTTCGTGACCCCATGGACTGCAGCATGCCAGGTTTCCCTGTCCCTCACCATCTCCTGGAATTTGCCCAAGTTCATGTCCGTTGAATCGGAGATGCTATCCAACCATATCATCCTCTGTGGCCCTCTTCTCCTTCTGCCTTCAATCTTTCAACTACCCCATAACAGGCCACTAATTTGATTTTTTTCATATGTACTAGGAGTCAGGCAAGACCAAATTAAGATTTTGATGAAACTCTGAAATCCATCGTACATTAACGTTCTAATAATATAAATACACATTTCAATATATTTGTTCCCAGAAAGGACATTTAGGATAGAGACATGAAAGCGTTCTATATGGAATCGAGCTAGGGATCCAAGTTGGTGTTTTGCCAGAGGTTTGGAATACCTTTATACATTAACGTTCTAATAATATAAATACACATTTCAATATATTTGTTCCCAGAAAGGACATTTAGGATAGAGACATGAAAGCGTTCTATATGGAATCGAGCTAGGGATCCAAGTTGGTGTTTTGCCAGAGGTTTGGAATACCTTTTTTTTCCCTTCAAAAACCATAGTTATATAAATTGTCTTTATCTTGTCTTTTAAAGGAAATGCCATTTTTGGACTCAATTCTTTAATCTACCCATACACTTTGACCATCATTTAAAAATTATTACACTCAATCATTTTCTTGCATCATTTCAAGGAGCCTAAAATGTCTTTTCATACATCTCAGTGTCTCCCTTCCCCCTACTCCTCAGATTTATTTTTCCATCCCAAAGCCTTCCTTCTCTCAACATAGGACATTTCATTTTCCTTTCCTTTCCCCATGCTATTGTAGGAATAACCTAGGGAGAAGAAAGAGACAGCATCTTCACATAGCCTCTGGCAGAGATCAGACCAAACCAGTTAGTGTCTGAGTGTTTGAGTTCTGGAGTCACACTGCCTGGTCTCAAATTTCACTCCCACCACTTCCAAGCTGTGTGACCTGGGCTGTGTGCTTTAACCTCTCTGTGTTTCAGTGTCCTGTAAAAGTAAAGTGTAACCTGAAGATAGCAATTCTGATATTAATGAGATACTTTACACCCTTTATTTTGCACTGTGTCTTCAGAGCCTGGTGACTTTCATTGTCAGAGCACATCTTCATCTGGACAAGACCCTGCAGATGCTCCACAGACCCACCCAGCCCTGGGCCATCTCCCTCCTCTCTGGACCCTTGCGGCTCCATTCCCTTCCATCATTCCTACAGCCCAGCTGTTGCTAACACACACGCATCCTTGCTTGCTCCCTCAGCCTTTGGGGGCATCTGCCTTGCTGAGGAGGGCTTCCCAGGTGGCTCAGTGGTAAAGAATCCGCCTGCCAATGCAGGAGACGTGGGTTCGGTTCCTGGGCTGGGAAGATCCCCTGGAGAAGGAACGGCAAGCCACTCCAGTATTCTTGCCTGGAGAATCCCACGAATAGAGGAGCCTGGTGGACTGTGGTCCAGGGGGTTGCAAGGAGCTGGACGTGACTTAGCAACTAAGTAACAATAATGCAACTCCCTAAGAAATGTGTATATATTGATTCTCCTTCCATAGACCAGATGGCTGGGTGGCCCTGTCACAGGCCACACTCTACTGGTAAATAAGATTTCTCAGGAAGAGAAAAATGATTTCACAGCTTTCGGATTTGTTTTTCAGGCGTCTTAGAAGGAATCAGATGATCCTGGCTAACACCTTATTCCAGTGTGTCTGTTACCACCCGGAGGAGTTCCAGATCATCACCAGTGGCACAGACAGAAAGGTGAGGGTTGGGACCCTTCTGGTACAAGAGAAGAGCCTGATGCCTCGTGGCCACGGGTGCAGGCTCTGGAGCCACACCACGCCAATTTGGAGGATGGGAGTGCTGGTGATCCTCTGAGTCACTTTGGAAACGCTTCATCACTTTCTTGGGTGCCTTTGCTTCATTGTCTGCAAAATGGGCGTGATGACACCGCTGACCTCATGGATTACAGCCACGCTTGACTTTAATCAAGCTTGTTTTCATGTAGTGTGAAAGTGAAAGTTGCTCAGTCGTGTCCGACTCTTTGTGACCGCATGGAATACAGTCCATGGAATTCTCCAGGCCAGAATGTGGAGTGGGTAGCCTTTCCTTTCTCCGGGGGATCTTCCCAACCCAGGGATCGAACCCAGGTCTCCTGCATCACAGGCAGATTCTTTACCAGCTGAGCCACAATGCTAAAAGCTGAGGGTGGGGGCTGGCACAGAGCAGGCACTCAGTAAGTACTGGTTATGAGCACAGATTATGAGGAAAGTTTTAGGGCTGGAACAGAAGTGCCGTGTCCAAATCACAGCAGTTGCCATGTGATTAAAATCAAATTGAATGATGATGTAGCTCCTCTCTCAACACTTCATGCTGTGAGTGAGCACTCAGTCGTTTCCGACTCTGTGTGACCCCATGGACTGTAGCCCACCAGGCTCCTCTGTCCCTGGGATTCTCCAGGCAAGCATACTGGAGTGGGTGACCATTTCCTCCTCCAGGGCATCTTCCTGATCCAGGGATCGAACCCGTGTCTCCTGCATTGCAGGCAGATTCTTTACCCACTGAGCCACCTGGGAAGCCCTCATCACCCTACTTCATCAATATGTTTAAAAATCTCTTTAGCTGGGGGGCGGGGTCCATGTCCTTGGGTGGAAATTGGCCCTTCTTTTCGGGGGAACATTTCCCCCTCAGAGTGAGCAAGAGGCTTCAGGAGAGAGGGACAAGGAAGCTGGGGCTGGGGGTGGGGGGTGGTCTCCCATCCTGCCAGCCACATCAGATCAGTCAGATCTTGGCCTCATTCCCTGCCAATCCAGGTATTGGGTTTGGATCCCCCTAATTTAGTCTTTGAGATGCCTTTGAGATAATTGAAGAAGAGGTTGCCTATTTGTTGTTTGGCCAGCTGCAGGCTGAGATAATGGAGTGAAAAGTATAAAAATAGCATGGGAAAAGTTCTAAAGGGACTTGCCCTCCCCACCGCCATGCCCATATATTTGAATCCAGGAGTGGGGATTTTTTCTGTTTAAGCTTCCCAGGTGAGTGGGAAGTACAGCCTGAAGACCTTTTCATTGAGGCAGTCCTAGCATGGGTTGGAAAAGAATTTCCAGACATAGAGCATTTCAGAAGGGAGTGAGTTTATCAAGAACAAAGCACAGATATGGTGGGCACTGTGAGTGCAGCAGACCAACCTCACAACAGGCCCAGGAGAGTCAACAGTTTTCATGAGTTAATAGCCATTTATAGCCTCAAGACAAGGAAAATTCCTGGGGGAAAGCTAGCGTCAGGTGGTTGGTTGGGGCACTATAGGGTGTTCACTGGAGTGGGCATCTTTGTCTAATTGGGAGTCAGGAAGCTTGTTAGTGATAATCAGGGGCTTTTGGCAGTGGTTACAAAGGGGCTCAGCTTCAGAGGTGTCCTTGTTTCTGGGCTGTACTTCCATGGCCTTGGTACAAGGCCTTGCATCTGCGATCTGGGGGCAGAATTCAACAACTTTGTCATAAAAACCCAAGGAATGCTGCCTGAACTAACCAGACAGGGTGTTCTGGGGAGGCATGGAGAGCTGGCTCCTTTCCAGACTCTGTGTAGTTTCTTTGTGTCTCATCTGTCCCATTGGTCCCCACCTGCCCGTGCCCTAACCCATGCTTGACTTGTGGTCTAAGTGGACTTCCCCTGGGAACTAGGATGGATGGATATTAAGGAGCTAATCACAGTGTCATTATAAATGCTCTGCTATACGGTTCGTATCATTTCTAAATTAGGGTGATATCTGCTGTATTCTAGGTTTCAGCTTATGAGACTTGAAACAGTCCATTTCCCTCTTATTTGAATTTTGACCATAAATCACAAATCTGTCAAACTAAGCCCTGGGGACATGACAGTATCCCTGTTGTCATGGAGGTAACTTACTTTCCGTATTAATTTTGGGTGGGAGGGGATGGACTTGAACAGTACACATGTGACAGAGCCCATGAATGAGCAGTGAGTAATAAGTGAACGAGATAATACAAGATGGTGAACGAGCTAAAAATACATAGATCCGGTTATAGGATGCTGGCTGAGAGAAGGAAACTGCTTTAGGGAGGCTGGTCAGCGAGGCCTCCTTAAGGTGGTGACACTGGAGCTGAGGCCTCAGTGCTAGGAGGACGTGGCCATACTTTGATCTCAGGGAAGACCACTTCTGGCAGAGGACCCTCAGGAAAGCACAGCTGAAGATCACTTTGACTTCCTTGGTCAAGGAAACTGGTAGTCAAGCACCAAGGACTTACATAGATGTGATTCCTGAGAAACAGAGATTTTTGGCATGCCTCCCCCCCGTCCCCCTGCTTTTTTGTTCTCACTGTTTGGCATGTGGGATCTTAGTTCTCCAACCAGGGATTGAACCTGTGCCCCCTGCAGTGGAAGCACAGAGTCTTAACCACTGGACCAACTACCAGGGAAGTCCCCTCAGCAGGCTTTTACACTTCTTTATGCTTTTAGTCTGAAAACAGAAATTTATTGTTAAAGTGATCCAGCATCAATAGAAATTACAAAAAAAGAAAAGAAAAAGGTTCAAAATAGCATACACAATTTCTAGCTAAATTCAGAGGGACACAGATTCCTGGTGTTCATGACTGAAATACAGCAAGTTTCCATCAACACGAAAGACAGAAAAAGTTCCGGGTGTAATACATATCTAAGTTCCCACTCCCAATTTCCAGTCAAGGGCTCTTTTGTTTAGCAAGAAATTTTATTTTTGAACAGGTTGTACATTGACAAGGTTCAAAGTTCAAAAAAGTATAAAAGCAGTATATTCAGAGAAAAGCCATCCCTCTTTGAGCTCCTGTCTCCTTTCCACCTCTAACCTAGTTTCATGGCCCAGGAAGGTGGCGGGGGTGTAATATAATCAGTTTCTGTTTAAACCCGTCCCTGCAAAGTCTTCTGTTGCTTTGAGTCTGAAGAGAAGGTGGGGATAAGTGTGGGGTTAGGAAGAAGGAGGGCCAGCCACAGCGAGAGCTGACTTAATAAGGCCCCATCTCCACAATTTTGCAGAATCGCTCATTCTCCAAGCTGAAGGCCCTAAAGAAATTTCATTTCCCCTCCTGCCAAGCCTAAAGAAAGCTTTGCTCTCCCCCTGTAAGTGCAGAATTGGGAAAGTGGATGCACTGGCCGGCTTCTTCCCGTTACAGCTTCCTCCAGGCTCAATCTGCTCCTTCTAACCAAAAAGCGCTCTCTGTCTCAATCCGGTTTACCAGCATATCAACATCTCTTTAAATAGAATGCAAATGTAAAAGCCACTCCTAAAAATATTAAAATGATTTCTCCACCCCCTGCCTTAGCCTATTTATAATGTCAGCCGATACATCATCCCTGGGTATATTTCTGCTGCCTGCTATATAAAGTAGAACCTTCTTTTGTTGGCGTGTGCTTGGATGATTCCACTGAGCTGAATCCTGCCCCATGCTTTGTGCTCCAATTCCAGATTGCTTACTGGGAAGTGTTCGACGGCTCAGTCATCAGAGAGTTGGACGGTTCCTTGTCCGGGGCTGTCAACGGCATGGACATCACAGTGGAAGGCGTGCACTTTGTCACAGGTCAGTCCTGGGATCAGAGAAGAAAGCCAGGCTTAGCTTATTTAAATGGAAACCTGGAACTCCCTGGCTGGGGGGCAACTGGAAGTGACCCCAGAAGGGTCTTAAGGGGCAACGTGGTTAGATTCAGGCCACACTGCAGCCCATGTGGTTAGGAAAGAAAAATTCAGAAGTCACATTGCAACGAGAAGACACATGTGCCCACGAACTTGAGGGGCACAAATAAAAACTAAGCTTCCACTGTTTGCTTTTTCTTTGTGATGGGCAGCAACGATATGTGCTAAGTCACTTCAGTCATGTCTGACTCTTTGCAACCCCATGGACCATAGCCCGCCAGGCTCCTCTGTACATAGGATTCTCCAGAAAAGAATACTGGAGTGGGTTGCCATTCCCTCCTCCAGGGAATCTTCCCAATCCAGGGATCAAACCCTTGTCTCTTAGGTCTCCTTCATTGGCAGGCGGGTTCTTTATCACTAGCGCTACCTGGGAAGCCCTACTTCAATTTAAAAAAAGAGAGAAATAGGCCTTTACATCGACTGGGCTATCTAGCTGCCTTGCTGTGCTGTTTCCTACTGAAGTCTTCAATGCCAGGCTTTTCAATCAGCATGTCCAGGGGGCGTTTGCCACACAGTGTGACCATTGCAACAGCATCAGTCTTATTTCTTGCAGCCTCTTTGAGTCTTCAAGACAGTAACCAATTAATGTTTTAAATCAATGAAAGTTTCACAAATACATTTACATAAATCAGGATATAAAATTAGACACAGTATGATCCCAATCACATACTCAGCTGTGTATCTGTGTAACTTATTGAGAAAAGACTAGAAGGAACTAAACCAAGAATTGTTATCTCTGGATGGTGGGATCAAGGGTAATGTCTTTACTTTTTTTCCCCTAAATTTACTGCAACAGGTCTAGATTTTTTCCCAGTCAAGGAAGAGTGTTTATAAAGATAGGTTTTTCTTCCTTTAAATCATCACATGGGGAATGTATTGAAAATGATCGTTTTTTTAAGTCAGGACTATTTTGTCTTTCTCCTGTTGCAGCCATGCCATATAAATGTTTGTCTTTTTCAGGTGGAAATGACCATCTGGTCAAGGTTTGGGATTACAATGAGGGTGAAGTGACCCATGTTGGGGTGGGACACAGTGGCAACATCACCCGCATCCGGATAAGTCCAGGAAATCAGTATATCGTTAGCGTGAGTGCCGACGGGGCCATTTTGAGGTGGAAATACCCATTTCCCTCATGAAGCAGCAGAGATCTCCTGGATTCACAGCATCGATTACCATCTTGTTGAAGAAGCCTGAGACTCCTAGACTAATCTTGCTTTCTCACATCTGTGTTTTTGTTCTTTGACCAAAGTATTTTATCTACATGTTTCTCCTTTTCTTTATAGGATGCATTGCACATTCTTGAATTGTACATTAAAATTGAGATGTGTTCAAGAATAATTAGTCTAGACTGTTTTTTTTATTATGAGTAAATTCCCAGTCGTTGGTTTCCTATCCTTATCTCTCTTCCATGAGTCTGCAGAACCCTTCCTCACGATTTGTCCGCAGATAATCATTGCTGTTATTCTCTAAAAAGAAAGGTGAGTTTACTTTCTTTTTAAAAAAAATTATTTATTTTTAATTGAAGGATAATTGCTTTCCAATATTTTGTTGATTTCTGCCATATGTCAACATGAATCAGCCATAGGTATACATATGACTTTACCTTCTTAATCAGCATTTCATTGGTCAAGCTGCCTGGGGCAAGATGTGGGTTTGAGTCCAGATCTTGGGTAGGGTTTTTGTTTTGTTTTAACTTTCTGTAAGAACACTGGGGTGGGTAGCCATTCACTTCTCCAGGGGATCTTCCCAACCCAGGGATCAAACCCACGTCTCCTGTATCGCAAGGGGATTTTTTACCATCTGAGGCACCAGGGAAAACCCCAAAGCAAGAATATCTGCCCCAAAATTATTGTTATAATTGAGTGAAATAATAAAGCATCAACAGAATTCATGACACAGAACAGAAAGTTAAATATGAATTGTGCTTTTGAAAATAAAAACGTGAGTTGGGAATCTTGAGGGTGATTACCAAAGGTGAAATTTGATAGGTGTTTTTCTGGAATTGAGCATAAAAGCTTTCTCCTCTGCTTACTATTAGAAAGGTGATGGAACTTGTTTATTGACGGTCCAATCCAGTATCCTTTCCCAGGGACGGTAGACGAAGGCATTTTTTCAGAAACACGTCAAGTTTCTAATTCACAGAACAGTCTTTTGTTCTGGGGATATTCTTTGTCCTTTAATGCTGCTGCTTTTTTTTTTTTTTTTTTGCTTTTATCAGGTAACCTGCTGCTGCCCTATTTGATATGTCAAGGTGGATATTTAATAAATGATGACCACATATTCATCAAACAATAAATAACATTTCAGGGCACTGATGTAATAACGCATCCTGCTGATCTCTTGTTGAGCTAGAAATGGATGAGAAATTCACTTTGCAAGACTTCACCAGATTAATGATAAACCTGACAGTTACAGGACAGGTGAGCGGAGTCCCCCAGCGAATCCAGGGCGAGGCTATGCCAAGTCAATTTTTATTGGGTAGCAATCCAGTTAGGATTTTGCTTTAAGGAGTGAAAGTGCGACCGCGTAGGGGGCGCGCCAGGGAGCCGGAAAACTTACTCGTAAGCAAATACTGAGGTTGGAAAAGAGCTAAGCTGCGGGGTTGGCAGAACCCGGCTTCAGTTCCGGTCTCTCTGTTTACGGGTCTGTGGCCTCCGCCCATGGCGTTAACCTCTCTGAGCGCGTTTCTTCACCAACCTAAACTGAGGATGATAAGGTCTCGCTGGCAAGTTTTGATCATCTCTAACCTGTTCTGTAATTTAAACAAGCAAACCACGGCCACCCCGGGTGTTTCTACACACGCCTCCCAGTTCTGGTCCCGGGATGGCGGGTCCCGCAAAGACTCTGCCTCCCGGGCGGCGCAGACGGGCTGGAAAGGAGGGGGTGCTACTCGTCCGCACACACCTGAGCCTGCGAAGGAGCCAGCGGTCCCAGAGCGCTCCCCACCCCGTCGCCGCTCTCCGTGCGCGTCTCTCGCTACGCCCGCGGCTACCCTTTTGGGAAGGCTTCACCTTCGCCCGGACGTCATTCCAAGAAACTTAGCAAGAGCCAGGGCTTTGCAATTTACGAGGGCGTTCATATTTATCATTCCTCTATTATTTTCAAGGCTTGAAGGCAGGGAGAGGACCAAGAGCAGAGGTTAAATTTGGGCCGGTAGGTTTAGGACAGATAAGGAAAGGGGAGGGAAGCTGAAAGCCAAGCCCCAGTGCTTTGATTCCCGGTCCGAGCGGCGGGGGCGGGACCCGGAGGCGGGTGCGGGCGGTGGGGCGCTGCCCGGGGCGGTCTCTGCAGCCGGATTCCCGCGCGGGGCGGGGCGGCCCCGCCCTTAGCTCCGCCTCCGCCCGGTCCCGGCACACCTGGCCCGCAGGTAGCCGGCGCCTGGGCACCTTTCCGAGTCTGGAAGGGCCTGCCGGCGGCTCGTCCGCCTGGGGCCCCCGGGGGGTGGAGGCTTGGTTCCGGGAGGGGCGCCGGCAGGAGCCATGGACCCAGGCGCGGGGGCCGCGGCCGGAGAGGACGCTCCCTGCGCCGCCTGTTCGGCCGCTTCCTGCTGGCGCTGGGCAGTCGCTCCCGCCCCGGGGACTCGCCGCCCCGGCCCCGACCCCAGCCCCAATCAGGGCACGGCGATGGCGACGGGGAGGGGGGCTTTGAGGGCCCGGATCCAGCCGCTTCCTGCTGGCGCTGGGCAGTCGCTCCCGCCCCGGGGACTCGCCGCCCCGGCCCCGACCCCAGCCCCAATCAGGACACGGCGATGGCGACGGGGAGGGGGGCTTTGAGGGCCCGGATCCAGCCGCGCCCGGAAGCCCCGGGGAGGAGCGCCGGCCCGGACTCCCCGCCGGCGACGGGGCGCGGCCCCCGGGAGCGCAGGGCTTGAAGAACCACGGCAACACCTGTTTCATGAACGCCGTGGTGCAGTGTCTGAGCAACACCGACCTGCTGGCCGAGTTCCTGGCGCTGGGGCGCTACCGGGCGGTGCCCGGCCGCGCCGAGGTCACCGAGCAGCTGGCGGCGCTGGTGCGCGCGCTCTGGACGCGCGAATACACGCCCCAACTTTCCGCCGAGTTCAAGGTAGGCAGCGCCCGGCGGCCTCCAGTCCTCGCCGCTCGGCGGCAGCCGCGCTCCGGCCCTTCGCGTTCCCCTTCTGGACAAGTGGGTGCTCCATCAGGATGGGGGCTTCTTGGGGACTTCTCCAGATGACAGTTACCAGTTCAGCCTGGGATTATCGCTTTTGTTTTGAGCTGACTAGTGTGTTAGCGCCTGAGGGAGGGGAGTGCCGGGAGCTGGTAGGTTTGAGTGTATACAGCATTTCTGTGTTCAGCAAACGCTAGGTGAAGCCTCGGAGGGTTGGTTCTCACGCCAGGCACGGAGTTTCCAGTGTGGTGCGGGGAGTCAGACTTTCAAGGCCAGGGCCTGGGAGGAAGGAGGTGAATGACGAGAAGGACGAAGCCAGGTCAAGATCTAGGAATAATCAAGGGAGAAGGAACTGCAACTATCAACACCAGAGGCCTGAAGGAGCTGAGAGTTGGAGGCATGAAAGAAAACTAGGGTGGCTGTTGCCCAGGAGAGTAGAGTGGGGTGGAGATGAAGTTGACCAGATCATGTAAGGTTTCAGAGACAGTGTAAGGAGTTTGGATTTCAGTCTAAGCCCAACGCAGGCTGAGAACCTGGGTGCCAGGTACTGCACTGAGGGCCAGGGAGACGGAGTGGATCTGCTACGAGTGGATCTGCTACATAAGAGATGGCATCCTTTTGTTTAGTGTGACTCAAATCCCCTAGGATGCGTTAGCCTGGGTTTGTATCCTTTTTCTCTGGGCTCATCATCTACTTACTGGGGATGCTGCAGGGTCAAGAGGCTTTGGAAGTTTTGTGTATCATTTCATCCAGGATTAAAACCCAGCGTTTGTTTGGGGTCCCAGTTGGATAAAAGAGTCCTGATAATTGACGCACATGGCTGGCTTCCTGCTTAAACAAAAACAAAAACAAAAACAACCCCACAGTTCTGGGCAGAGAGCTGAAGCTCCCTGAAGACTAGGGATTGTTGTTCTTGGGGGAGGGGGACCTTGTCAGTGTTCATTCCACAAGCATCACCACTCTTGAGTTTCAGCCCGAGAAAGCAATCCTTGCCATGTGACCCACAAGGGTGCCAACCCTCACCTTCCTCTCTCCTGCTTCCACCGGGGAAGCTCTGTTCTACAGGCGTCAGGGAGGCAAATGGGTGTCAGTAATAGCTCTTTTGGCAGCATTCACTTTTTAAATGTGAGAGGCAGTGTCCTATGGTGGTTAAGGATACCACCTCTGTGACCTTGAGCAAATTACTAAAAACTCAATTGTGCCTCAGCTTTCCTCATCTGTAAAATGGGACTCTAGCAGTACTTACCTTATTACAGGGATGTTGTGATGATAAAATGAGTTAATTATATTAATATCTCCTCACCTGCAGAGACCAAGAGGAAGGAGGGAGGTAAGTTCTGTGTACCTTTTCTCTTGGTCTTTGCATTCTCATCCAATTACTGCAGCCACGGAGAGGCACGAGTAATTGAAAAGTTCTGAATTAGTAATCTGTGACTCACCAGGATTTCCTATTTCTCTTCTGCTTCAAATCCCTAGAGCCAAGAAACTCCTTGTGAGTCTTGGGGGGATTGAAAGATAATCAAACTGTTAATATGTTAATAAAGGTGATATGGTCCAAATTTTCTTGGGGCTTTTCAGGCTGGCAGTCTTGGAGACAGTGGAGGAGTCCAGAACAGGGGCTTTTAAACCTTGTGGATTGAAATCTAGGTGGGCTCCTCTGATTTTCCAGATGAGGAAACATTCATTCATTCAACAAATATTGTGTCCAGACAGTATACAAGGAGCATGGAACACACGTAGGGGGATGAATGCAAATCCTGGGAGTTTACGGTCCAGCAGGAGAGATGGAGATGAGTGAAGTAATCCCACGGGCCCATGATTAGAACTGGTGACAAGAAGTACAAAATAAAGATGTTCTCTGGCAATTCTGCTATGTGAAAGTGTGAGTTACTGAATGGTCATCTACTCTTTGCGACCCCAAGGACTGTAGCCCGCCAGGCTCCTCTATCCATGGAATTCTGCAGGCAAGAACACTGGAGTGGGTAGCCATTTCCTTCTCCAGGGGATCCTCCTGACCCAGGGATCAAACCTGACAGATTCTTAACAGTCTGAGACACCAGGCAATTGTGCTAGAAGGATGTGATTGTTTGGGAGAGGTGGGGTGAGGAGGCGGGGCAGGGAGGCTTCCCAGGAGTGTGAATCTTTGAGCTGAGTTTTGAGGGATGAAGGGTCAACTGAGGACAAAGGAGGGTGGGAAGAAGTGCATTATAGTCCGTAAGACTGAAACTGCCAGTCACTGAGTGGAGTGGGGCTGGATGGGATAAATGCTTGGTAAAATGAATTGGTGGTGGTGGTTTCGTCACTAAGTCATGTCTTGGCTACCCCGTGGACTGTAGCCAGCCAGGCTCCTCTGTCCAAGAAAGCCTGTGTGGCTGGGGGGAGGGGCTGGAGAATTGGTTGGGGACAAGCCACAGAAGGTGGTTTTAAGAGGGATTATTATTATTATATTAAGGTCTTTAAGAGGGATTATTAGCTTTGGACTGAGGAAGAGAGGAAGTTAAGAAGCCAGCATGCTGGAGTGTGTGACTCCAGCCCAGGCACACAAATGGGATGGGTTTGTGGGGGTCCCCTTCCTCGGTCCCTGAGTCACCCAGCCTCCCACTGACAGTAGGACTACTCTTTGTTTTAACAGCAAATGAATAAGTACATTAAAAATATCCTGTTCCAAAAGACTTTGATTTCTTGATGATGTAATTAAATATGTATGACTTTAAAAAAAAATGAAAAATGCTAAAATGTGTTTTTAAAAAAAGATCTGGAATTCCACCCTCTAGAAATAACCATCATTAGTGTATTGATGTGTTTCAAATCATGTACAAACAATTGGAAATTCTAGTTTTGTATCCTGCTGATTTCGTGTAAGTAGCAACTTAAGAGTTTTTCCTGGTCATTAAAATGTTCTATGAAACAGTTTTTATTAATATGATTGTATACTATTTCACTAAATGATACAATTGCTAGGGAGACATTTTTATACTGTACAATTTTCCAACTATCATGCTGCATTGAAAATTCTTATGTTTTAAATCATTGTCCTCAGCTCTGATTTCCATACACTTAATTCCTTGAGTGAAATGACATGGTCAAAGCAAAGATGACTGTTTTGTTGTTTTTTTTGTTTCTTGCTTTTTAAATCAACTTTTTTGAGGTATAAATTATGTACAATGAAATGCACCCATTTTTAAAAATTGAGTTATATGTGAGATACAACCCTGTGTAGGGTATATATTGATAATATATTGATCTGGTACGTTTGTATTACTGATTGTGTACTGGCAATTATGATTGCCAGGAGTAGCATTGATTAATACCTCCATCTCATCGTGTAATTGTATTTCTTCTAGTGCTGAGAACATTTAAGGTTTAGTCTCTAGTGACTTTAGTATTTATAATACAGTTTTGTTGTCTATAATCACTGTATAGGTACATTTCATTGTATTGTACTTTGCGGAGACTGTGTTCTTTACAAATTGAAGGTCTGTGGCAACCCTGTGGAGGGCAAGTCTATCAGTGCCCTTTTTCCAACAGTATTTGCTCACTTTGTGTCTCTACGTCGCATTTTGGTAATTTTCACAGTATTTCCAACTGTTTCATTTTTACCATATTTGTTATGATGATCTGTGATCAGTGATCTTTGATGTTACTATTGTCATTGTTTTGGGGGCGCTGTGAATTGCGCCCATATAAGATGAACTTTATCAATAAATGTGTGTGTTCTGACCGCTCCACCAGCTGTCCATTCTGCCCATCTCTCTCTCCCCAGGCCTCCCTCTTCCCTGAGACACACAACATTGAAATTAGGCCAATGAATAACCCTGGAGTGACCTCTAAGGGTTCAAGTGAAAGGAACAATTAATCCAAGCGCAGATGTCAGTCACTGTTGTCTTATTATAAGAAATTGCTGCAGCCATCCTAGGCTTCAGCAGCCATCAGCTGCTGAAAGGCCAGACTTTCCACCAGCAGATTAAGAGTTGCTGAAGGCTCAGATGATGGTTAGCATTTTTTAGCAATAAATTTTTAAGAAAATTAAGGTCCATATGTTGTTTTTTAGACATAATATTATTGTACGTTTAATATTGTATTATTAAGAGACCACAGAAGACTGTAAATATCACTTTTATATGCACTGAGAAACCAAAAAGTTAACGTGACCTGCTTTATTGAAATATTTGCTTTATTGTGGTGGTCTGGAACTGAACCCATAATACCTGATGTCTGCTTGTACCATGTACTAGTCTCCAGGACTTAAATATCTACTGGTTACAAGCATGTACCTTACACAACACCTCTCCCATCCCTCCACCCTCAGCCCCTCATAACCACTATTTTCTGCTTTTCAATTTTGATATTTTTAGATTCTACATATAAAAGGTGTCATACACTGATTTCTTCTGTCTTTTTATTTCACTCAGCATAATGTCCTCATGGTCCATCCATGTTGCTACAAATGGCAGAATTTCTTCTCAGGGCTGAGTAAAAATTTTAAGTAGCATCTGATGAGTTTTGCTATCTGTATAAATCATCTTCCCATTTTCTTTTCTTTTTTTTTTTTATTAGTTGGAGGCTAATTACTTTACAATATTGTAGTAGTTTTTGTCATACATTGACATGAATCAGCCATGGATATACATGTATTCCCCATCCTGATCCTCCCTCCCACTTCCCGCTCCACCTGATCCCTCTGGGTCTTCCCAGTGCACCAGGTCCGAGCACTTCATCTTCCCAATTTTAAGTGTTTATTGCTTTTTAGTTTTTAGATCAACTTTATTGGGCTTGATTATTTTTAGTGCCCACATTGACAAATTTCCAAAAATGATATCAAGTTGTAGATACACCAGCAATGCATGTTTTCCTGAGTATTAAATATTCTCTCATTAATATGTTGAACAAATAGAAATACCATCTTGTTTTTAACATTTGTTTGTTTGGAGTCAAGTGTTGAATCTTTCTATGCTTTTTCACTATGAATGGTTGTAAGACTGCTCCTGGAATTCTCTGTTCATGTGGTTTGTCTAAACATTCTGCCTTGGTCATAATGTTGTTTTTTCTTGTTTCTTTAAATTCTTTAACTCTTGTCATACTTGCTGCAAATATTTCCTCCAAACTCAATCCTTCTTCTCCCTACAGAAAATTTTAGATTTATTTGTTTCATACCTTTTGATAAACATTCTATGTTATGTACTTCTGATTTTTCTATGGCTATTTAAGGATTTCAGCCATCTGGAATTTATCTTAGCGTATGTGTTTGAGGATCAATTTTAGACCAACAGTTTTAGAAATGCAGTATGCCTCAAATGATATACCAGAGGCATTGCTTTTTAAAAAAACAAGGATACCTTCATCACTTGTGTGTTTTGGAAGTTCTGGAGAAAACAGTAAGACATGAAAAGGAAACAGGATTAAAATTCAACTTTTTTTTTTTTCCGGAAGGAAAACTACTGAATGGTTCTGGGAATCCATGTTTTAGAATTATCATTGTCACTAATGGGGTCAGGTACTAGATAGTCAAAAGCAAGACCCTTTTAGAAACATAAAAATGAGATTTCATTTCTAAAAACCAGAAATATGAAATAACTAGGAATACTGCTTAAACATGTTATAAATTATCAGTGATGAGAGGGAGAAACACACTCATGGGTAGAGCTATGGCGTATTGCAGGGTAGAAATACCAAATATTGCCGTTCATCCTTCCCGTGTTAGGATATAGCTTTAATGCAGTAGGAAGGGTTTGGGGTGGGGGCCTGACCTTACCAGCAGGGTTGTGGGAAGAAAGTTCTGTCCTGTCCTGCAGGCAGTAGGTGGGCAGGGGGAGCTGCTGGGGGCCGGACTTCCCTCTAGGTGGGTATTGTCATCTGGGTCGTCAGGAATTAGGATTTAACGGTGGGACTGGGACTGTGGAAAGTGCAGTCAGGAAGCCAGAATCAGAACTCTTGACTGATGAGCATCAGTCCTTCCAATGAACACCCAGGACTGATCTCCTTTAGGATGGACCGGTTGGATCTCCTTGCAGTCCAAGGGACTCTCAAGAGTCTTCAACATCACAGTTCAAAAGCATCAGTTTTTCGGCACTCAGCTTTCTTCACAGTCCAACTCTCACATCCATACATGAATACTTATGAATACTTATACCACAAACATTACTCATTGTTTATCACTTATTGATGCTTCTTTTTAATTGCTTATTGGGCAGCCCTGCTTGTGTGTGTGTGTGGGGGGGCAGTCAAAGTACAGGGAAATCTAGACCCTCCAATGCACCCAAGCTAGCGTGCTTCAAATAATAGAAATAATAGAAACTCAGTTTCATTTCAGTTAATCAAATCTTGAATTTTGCTTTAGCTCCTCCTAAAGTTGCGTTTAAATCCCAAAGGAAGATTTAAAAGAGAAAAAGCCCAGGCCCTTTCATTAGGGCTTCCCAGGTGGCTCAGTGGTAAAAAAATCTGCCTGTCAGTGCAGGTGATGCAAAAGATGTGGGTTCAATCCTTGGGTCAGAAAGATCCTCGGGAGAAGGAAATTGCAACCCATTCCAGTATTGCCTGGGAAATCCCATGGATAGAGGAGCCTGGTGGGGTCCTCCATGGGGTCACAAAAAGTTGGACACGGCTGAGCACATGGCACACGTTTGATTTGACTGGACGTGGTGAGATCGGCTGGGTCCACAGCTTTGCTCACATTGCTCCCTTGGGTGGGCATGAGCAGAGGACAGACCTGCAGGGGACATATACAGGATGTGCCCTGTACACAGACAAGGGGGATTGCTTACACTCATGCTCATGCTTGCACAAAGAAGACCATGGAAGGATGCTTAAGTAAGAAAATATTCAGTGTCTTCTTTCTTTTCATGAGGGGCACCCGGGCAAAAGAAAACACTTCACAACACCGCTCTTTATATATTGAAAACTCTATATAAAAAAAGAGAGATATATATTACCCTTTGAAGTGAACTTTTTAAAAGCTGGAACCTGCCTGTACCCAGAAAATGATGAAGTTGCCACATCCTTTAACGGGACAAAGTGAAGGGTGCGGGAATATGAGTGCCAAGAGGGCAGGAAGTCTCGTCTGCCCCGTTCCCCCTTGGAACCCCAGGCCCTAGACTAGTGCCTGGCCTGTGGGAGGCACTCAACAAACACTTATTTATTAAAGGGATGGATGAAGGATTGGCTCTCACATTTTGTGATCTAACCACAGAAGAAGTTCGGACTTCTCAAATTCCATTCATTTTAGGAAGAGGCAGTGAAGGAACCACAGGTGTGGTATGTAAGGAATTCCACTTCACTGGGTCATGTGGTCAATCTCAAGAGGAGAGTTGACACCTTGGGAATGAAGGAAACAACTGCTGAGAGAGCAGGGCCAGAAGCTGTCCACCTATGGGATGAGCAGAGAGAGACAGTGCGGAAACAGACTAATGGGGGCAGGGGAACATGGGCCGCAGCACTACAAGGACCAGAGCTTCAGGCAAGAGAGAGAATCATGTATATCAAAACATTCTACTACATGATCCAGCAATCCCACTCCTGGGTCTATTTCCAGAAAAAAAAAGAAAACACTAGTTTGAAAAGATACATTCACCCCATTGTTCATAGCAGCACTATTTACAATAGCCAATACATGGTAGTAAACTAAGTGCCCATCAACAGACAATTGGATTAAGAAGATATGGTATGGGGACTTCCCTGGAGGTTCAGTGGCTAAGATTCCCCACCCCCAATGCAGGTGGCCCAGGTTCGATCCCTGGTCAGGGAACTAGATTGCATATGCTCCAACTAAGAGTTCACGTGCCCCAGTGAAGACCAGCGTGATAAAATAAGTAAATAAAAAAAGATGTAATAGAAACAGACAATGGAATGTTACTCAGCCAAAAAACCAAAAGAATGAAATACTGCCATTTGCAGCAACAGGGACGGACCTGGAGAATATTATGCTTAGTAAAATAAGTCAGACAAAGAAAATACTATACAATATCACTTATGTGTTAGTGAGTTTCCTTGGCTTAAATGGTAAAGAATCTGCCTGCAATGTAGGAGACCCGGGTTCCATCCCCAAGTTGGGAAGACCCTCTGGAGAAGGGAATGGCAACCCACTCCAGGATTCTTGCCTGGAGAAATCCATGGACAGAGAAACCTGGGGGCTACAGTCCATGGGGGTCACAAAGTCAGACACGACTGAGTGAGTGGGCTTCTTGAAATATAAAGACAAATACTATATGATATCACGTATATGTGGAATCTAAAAAATTATACAAATGAATCCATATACAGAACAGAAATGTACAGCATAGGAAACTCTACTCAATACCCTGTAATGACCTTTATGGGAAAAGAACGTTACAAAGAGTGGAGATATATGTAGTTGGCTGTTGGAAAGCCCACATTGCCCCTCTGGTTTTTCTCTGTTCCTTCAGAATGCAGTCTCCAAGTACGGCACTCAGTTCCAAGGCAATGCCCAGCACGATGCCCTGGAGTTCCTGCTCTGGTTGTTGGATCGCGTACACGAGGACCTGGAGGGTTCCTCCCGAGGGCCGGAGTCTGACAAGGTCAGTCACCCTCGAAAAACACATTGTGTTCAATTTTAGTTTTTTCCCTTGAACATTTATTCAACTCAAAGCTAAATCTTGAGATTCAGCTCCGTAGATTTTTGTGTATTCTGGCTGCTGCTCACACAGTACCATTCCCTGCGCCTTCCTCTTTGCCCCTTTTGTTTTAGACCAGACGTTTCCTCCCATTGCTGTTCCTTATCCTCTTTAATCCCAGCAATTCAGTGAATAGGGTTTCTGTTTGGTTTAAAGTTCGAAAAAAAAAATTTTCCTTTTCATCTGTATCCTATGCCTTAGTATGGTCCTCTGAGGCCATTGGTGGTATTGCTTACTATTTTCAAATGCTACCATTTTAGCTTTGCTTTCTCAGTTACTTATCCTGCAGAGCAAGTGATTCCCAATCATTTTTCTCAAGACGCAGGATGGATGATCTTTTCATGTGTGCCCTCAGCATTCCCAGATTTGGGCGAAACCTCAAGCCTTTGGGAGTAAGAAAGCCCTACGATCATTTGTAATAGCCACAGTCAGTTAATAAATACATCAGTTATAGTCTCTATGGCTTTGCTAAATAAAGATCAATATTGGGTTCTATCCTTTTATCTCTCACTTAAGAAAGGAAAAGTGAGTAAATTTATTATGCCATGAGTGAGCAAAGTTATCAAAACAATATCCATGAATAATCCATTATAATTTAAAAAATGTTTTACAAGCTTTGGTAATGAATCAGTCGCACATTATTTTTGATGTGACCCAAAACTGATCCAGATCAGAACCAGCTACAAGAACTGCTTTACTTGTTTTGTTTGTTTGTTTGTTTTATGTCTGGACCATTTTTTCCCATCCCTCTTGTGAATCAATTAAAAAGCCCTTTGTAAGTGTTTCAATCTTTCACTTGTTACTCTTCCATCTTTACACTACCTGCTCAGAGAGTATTATTCTAGAGTAATAAAGATGAGATGCTAAAATGTGACACAAATGGACCTATTGACGAAACAGACAGACTCCCAGACATAGAGAACAGACAGGTGGTTGCCAAGGGGGAGGGGGGCTGGGGAAAGGATACATTGGGAGTTTGGAAATAGCAGATGGATAAACAACAAGGTCCTACTGTATAACATAGGGACCTGTATTCAGTATCCTGTGATAAACCATGAGGGAAAAGAATACAATAAAGAATGTGTGTGTGTGTATATATATATATATATATATATAACTGAATCACTTTGCTGTACAGTAGAAATTAACACAACATTGAAAATAAACTATACTTACTAAAATGAATAAATAAATGAGGGAGAGATTGAATGGCAGTCAGTTTTGTAGGGTGAATAAATCTAGATACCTAGCATGCAGCATGGTGACTATAATTAATAACACCATATTGAGTGCTAGAAATCTGCTAGGAGTAGATGTTAGGTCCTCTCACCACACACACAAGAAGGTAACTATGTGAGGAGATGATATGTTTATTGGTTTGACTGAAGTGATTATTTCACTACCTCAGTGTGTATCAAACCATCATGTTGCACTCCTTAAATACATACAGTGTTTATTTAAAAATAAAATGGCTCAAGAAGCCAAGTCAGCTTTTTCCTTTAACTTGTCTGCACAGCCGATTGTCGTCTCTGTTTCTTTTTCTTTTAAAATGACAAATTGCAGCTTTAAGGAGAGCATCACCATATATGTCTTGAATAAACTCTTTTAAACCGCAGTATAATGTAGAAGCTAAGAGCTTGACAGAGCTGCAGAAAGAGTTCCTCTGTCTGAGACAGCAGGTTGCCAAATGCATGGGACAGGGAAGATAGTGATTGTACCCTGTTCTGTAGTTTTCAGAGCACATCTTGGAGTGTTATACACAGTATGAATAGCTACTGTCATTTGTGGAGTGTTACAAGAGTTATTATCCACATTTGACATATGGATAAACCAAGAAATCAGACAGGCTGTGTAACCTTCCTGAAGCAGCACAGCTTAAGAAGTGACAGAGTCAGGATTCAAGTCCAAGGGGTGTCTAGCTTGAAAGCCTGTTGTCTTATTTTAAAAAGAACCATCCTGGGGCTTCCCTGGCAGTCAAGTGGTTTAGACTCTGTGCTTCCACTGCAGGGGGCACAGTTTCGATCCCTAGTCAGGGAACTAAATTCCAAGCCATGTGGCCAAAAAAGAAAAAAAAAGAAAAGACTTCTTGTCCCATTTCCCCCCTCCTTCTCCCCCTACCTATGCCAGTCAGCACTTCCTACCTGGCAAGTAAGAGGGATAAACAGCCTTCCCAGTTACCTTTCGATCCTTCACTTTTGTCCTTTGGTGGCAGGCAAAGCATCCCATAGAGGTTGGGGAGAGCACAGAGAGGTTAAGTAACTTGCTGCAAGTCACACAGCAAGCCAGTAGGAGAGCCAGGTTGCAAAGCTAGAAAATTCGACTCTTAGAACAGGGCTTCTTAGCCTCAGCAATTTTGACAGAAGACCAGGTAATCATAGGTGAGTGGGGGTTTCTCCTGTGCATTGTAGCATTTGTAGCATTTCTTTACCCAGCAGCTGCCGGGGGCATCCATAATTGTGATTGATTACCAAAACTGTCTCCAGACACAGCCACATGTCCCCTGGAGGAGAGGCGAAAGCATCCCCCTCACTGAGAACTCTGCTCTGGAGCCTTGCTCCCAACCACAGTGCACCACCTCACACCTTTCTTTACAATGGCAGTGAGTTTATTTAAGTCAATAATTTGTTACAATTTCAAGACCCACATAAAAGCAGCCCTAACTGGTCTTGCATTTTCCAGTGTGCCCCACTGCTGTGTGTTCCTCATGCTGCAGCCAGAGGGATCTTTTCAGAAGGGAAATAGGATCGCATCACCCTCCTGCTTTAATTCCCTCGGCAGCTCCCTATTGTGCTCATAACAGAATCCAGACTCCTATATAGCTGACGGGGCCCTAACTGGCTGACCCACCAACATCTCTGCCTGGTTTCAGGCCCCTCTGCCCCTCACTCATGATTCTCAGTCACGCTGGCTGCTTTCTGTTCCTTTAATGGCCAAGGGTGTCAAGAAGGCACCCACGACCCAACAAGACCATGGCTGGCTGTTGGCTGGAGAGAGGAGCTTGGCCTGCTCTTCATCTGACCTGATTGAAACCAGGAAAGATCTTTTCTCTGTCTGGAGTCAAAGCCCCTCCTGAAACTTGCTCTCAGAAAATCGGGCTGCCTGCAGAGGGATTCACAGAGCCCTCTGTGAATGCTTGAAGGTAAAAGAGCAGAGCCGTTGGACTATCTGGCACAAACTTCATTTTCGCTTTCCAAGAAGGAAAGGGACTGTCCCCTGTGTACCTCTGAACAATTTTTCTTTCTGAGGCTATTTCTGTTTCAAACATATGAAAGCCATGTAGCTCAATTTATTTGAAACCAGAATAGGAAACATGAGGACCACTTTCTTCTCTGTTAATGTAACAATAAATGTTTTCATCTGGTGAATAGGGCGTCTTTTTACTATCCCGTGGACAGTGTGACACCAGCAATCTTTCAGGCAGTTTATCTCACAGAAAACGCCAGTCTTGCAGAATTAAGAAAGGACTGAGGCTGGGAAGAGGACCAGGAACCTAACATCTATTAAGCACCTACTATGTGCCAGTCAGTATACCCTCGTCTCTTTTTATTTAAACGATGACTCCCTGAGCTCCTGTTTGTTCCTTTTAGGTGTGGAACAAGGCTCAGGGAGATAGTCAGGATCACTCAGCTATCAGGGTAGCCCCAGCCTGGTCCGGCTGGGCTTATAGACCATGCTTTATGAGTGATCCTCCATTGCCTCTCACCCCAGCCTCGTTTGGAATTTTCTCTTTACATACCCATCCTTGGACGGTCCTGTCTGCAGCCGCTTCCAATGCATGCTGCCTTATCATCTTTTTTAGATTTATTTTTTTTAACGTGGACCATTTTCGAAGTATTGCTTCTGTTTTAGTTATTTTGTGAGGCATGTGGGATCTTAGCTCCCCAACCAGGGATTGAATCCAAACCCCCTGCATTGGAAGGTCTTAACCACCGGATTGTCAGGGAAGTCCCGCTGCCCCAATGTCCCCTGGAGGAGAGGCGAAAGCATCCCCCTCACTGAGAACTCTGCTCTGGAGCCTTGCTCCCAACCACAGTGCACCACCTCACACCTTTCTTTACAATGACAGTGAGTTTATTTAAGTCAATAATTTGTTACAATTTCAAGACCCACATAAAAGCAGCCCTAACTGGTCTTGCATTTTCCAGTGTGCCCCACTGCTGTGTGTTCCTCATGCTGCAGCCAGAGGGATCTTTTCAGAAGGGAAATAGGATCGCATCACCCTCCTGCTTTAATTCCCTCGGCAGCTCCCTATTGTGCTCATAACAGAATCCAGACTCCTATATAGCTGACGGGGCCCTAACTGGCTGACCCACCAACATCTCTGCCTGGTTTCAGGCCCCTCTGCCCCTCACTCATGATTCTCAGTCACGCTGGCTGCTTTCTGTTCCTTTAATGGCCAAGGGTGTCAAGAAGGCACCCACGACCCAACAAGACCATGGCTGGCTGTTGGCTGGAGAGAGGAGCTTGGCCTGCTCTTCATCTGACCTGATTGAAACCAGGAAAGATCTTTTCTCTGTCTGGAGTCAAAGCCCCTCCTGAAACTTGCTCTCAGAAAATCGGGCTGCCTGCAGAGGGATTCACAGAGCCCTCTGTGAATGCTTGAAGGTAAAAGAGCAGAGCCGTTGGACTATCTGGCACAAACTTCATTTTCGCTTTCCAAGAAGGAAAGGGACTGTCCCCTGTGTACCTCTGAACAATTTTTCTTTCTGAGGCTATTTCTGTTTCAAACATATGAAAGCCATGTAGCTCAATTTATTTGAAACCAGAATAGGAAACATGAGGACCACTTTCTTCTCTGTTAATGTAACAATAAATGTTTTCATCTGGTGAATAGGGCGTCTTTTTACTATCCCGTGGACAGTGTGACACCAGCAATCTTTCAGGCAGTTTATCTCACAGAAAACGCCAGTCTTGCAGAATTAAGAAAGGACTGAGGCTGGGAAGAGGACCAGGAACCTAACATCTATTAAGCACCTACTATGTGCCAGTCAGTATACCCTCGTCTCTTTTTATTTAAACGATGACTCCCTGAGCTCCTGTTTGTTCCTTTTAGGTGTGGAACAAGGCTCAGGGAGATAGTCAGGATCACTCAGCTATCAGGGTAGCCCCAGCCTGGTCCGGCTGGGCTTATAGACCATGCTTTATGAGTGATCCTCCATTGCCTCTCACCCCAGCCTCGTTTGGAATTTTCTCTTTACATACCCATCCTTGGACGGTCCTGTCTGCAGCCGCTTCCAATGCATGCTGCCTTATCATCTTTTTTAGATTTATTTTTTTTAACGTGGACCATTTTCGAAGTATTGCTTCTGTTTTAGTTATTTTGTGAGGCATGTGGGATCTTAGCTCCCCAACCAGGGATTGAATCCAAACCCCCTGCATTGGAAGGTCTTAACCACCGGATTGTCAGGGAAGTCCCGCTGCCCCAACATCCTGATGGAGAAGCAGCCTGGGTCACTGAGAGGTCTTTGGTTGTGAGGAACGCCAGCCAATCAGCCAACTCAAACAAAAAGGGGAAGGCCAAGGGCAGAAGAGTGGAGAATGGAGGTGAAGGGTGAAGGGTGGAATGGAAATGAAGGCTGAAGACCAGGCTGGGAACTGTCCTGAGCCAGACAGCACTGGGGTGGGGGTGTCAGTGGCAGGAATGGCTCAATCCTCTGGCCTGGACACTTCTGCCGAAGTTCCAGTTTTCAGCCTGTGGGTGAGTCTGCCTGTGATCAACATGCAGCGCAGGAACATCACATCTCATCCATCTTGCTTGAGTCACGTGCATGTCTCTTTGGTGAGGAAGGACGGGACCCCCAATGAAAGAGCCTTGCCCCCTACCCCTGGACTGAATTCAATGTTCCCAAACTGAGGGCTACTCTCAGTGAAGAGGAGACAGTCCTGGGCAGCCCCAAATGCCTGTGTCTGCTCTGTATCCACGTTCTCTCTCCTCCGAGCCCTTCATTCCCTTGTCCTTCAGTGTCTGTTCCCGGAACTTGGCTTGCTCTCCCCTCCCTCAACTTCCCCTTTCTCCTGTTGCTATTTCCTGTTCTGTTAATGGGGTTCCCTGGTGGCTCAGTGATAAAGAATCTGCCTCCCGATGCAGGAGACGAGAGTTCGATCCCTGGGCCGGGAAGAGTCCCTGGAGAAGGAAATGGCAGCCCACTCCAGTATTCTTGCCTGGGAAATCCCATGGGCAGAGGAGCCTGGCGGGTTACAGTCCATGGGGTCGCAAAGAATCGGACACCCCTGAGCACGCACACAGTTCTGTTAATGGATCAGAGGCTCTCCAGGCACCAGATCGGAAGCTTGGAGTTGACCCTATGTACCCCTTCCTCTGTCTCCTCTCCTCCTCCATCAGCTGCTCAGTTATGAGCTGTGCATATAGGGTGTCACACAAGGTGCCTTGATTGAGTCCCTCCCTCCTTTTTATTTTTTAAATATCTGTTTATTTATTTGGCTGCACCAGGTCTTAGTTGCAGCACGTGGAATCTTTTAGTTGTGGTATATGGGGTCTAGTTCCCTGGCCAGGGATTGAACCCGGGTGTCCTGCATCAGGAGCTCAGAGTCTTAGCCACCGGACCACTAGGGAAGTCCCTGATTTTGGATGTCTGGTCTTGAAATCTACGAGAGGACACATTTCTGTTGTTTGAAGCCACTCATTTGTGGCCATTTATTACAGCCACAGTGGGACACTCATACGTAAGGCAATTCAGAGAAGGATATAGTAGGACAGAGTGTGGTGGGAGGAGGCTGACGCATTCATTATTCTGAGATACAAACCTGTTTTGTCTGAGAAAGATGATGTTTACATGAAGATTGGCTCACTGGAAAATATGTTCAGGAACGGTTTAGGAGGTGGGAGATGGTCAGATTTGGTGTGGGTGTGTTTGAAGTGATGACAGCCCATCCAAGTGAAATGTACAGGAAACATTTAGACACAGGGTTTCTAGAAGCGTGGGGGTAAAGAATGGGTTTGTTAATCCAGAGGTAATTGAAGGAGCAGTAGATGATGGTCAGCAGCATGGAAAGCCTGGTTCTGCAGGTCTAGTCCCAGAAAGGGATGCTGTGGACCCAGGAGGAGGTGGAGTCTCGTTGGTCTGGATGCAGTGGAGTGATGGGAGGCATGGCTAATTTTGTTTCCTCCCCTCATTTCTTTGCAGCTTCAACCTGAAGTCAGGAGGACCTCTGAGAACCTTCTGTCGCCATCGGCTCAGCTTTCTGTGGGCCAAAGCTTTGTGCAAAGCCACTTCCAAGCACAGTACAGGTAAGAATGGGGTATGTTTAAAATGTGTTGCCTAAGCCTTCAGCAAACTTGTATGCTGGTAACCAGCCTCCCATTGTTAGGTTTACCCTGAGATTGTAAAACAACAGAAACCATAAGCTCCCTTGTCTTCCCCATTATTAATCACAGTTAAGCACTTACTCCTGTTGTTTCCGACCTTCAGTATTTCTTTCCTTTCTTGCTGGATCCTGGGCCTCCCACCCCGCCTTGAAGGAGGGCTGTTGGTGAAGATGGTTCTGTATAACATGAATGTGAAGGCCTAGGATCTCCTCAGGCCATTGCTGAGAAGTGGGTGAGATCTTTCTGATTTGTTCTTTATTACCAGAGAGCTGAGTCTGACACATTATTTGGAGTTCAAGATTTCCCAGCATAATGAAGGATATAAAAAATATAAACTTATATAGACTCTGCCAGGCCTCCTTCTAGGTGCTGAGACTTGACCTGTGAACACACCCCAGCCACTGTTCTTATCAACTAACATTCTATTGGGGGTTGTTGTTGTTCAGACGCTACGTCGTGTTCAACTCTTTGCGACCCCATGGACTGTAGCACGCCAGGTTCCTCTGTCCTCCACTGTCTCCTGGAGCTTGCTCAAATTCATGTCCATTGAGTCAGTGATGCTACCCAACCATCTCGTCCTCTGTCATCCCCTTCTTCTCCTGCCCTCAATCTTTCCCAGCATCAAGGTCTTTTCCAAAGAATCAGCTCTTTGCATCAGGTGGCCAAAGTATTGGAGCTTCAGCTTCAGTATCAGTCCGTCCAGTGAATATTCAGGGTTGATTTCCTTTAGGATTGACTGGTTTGATCTCCTTGCAGTCCCAGGGACTCTCAAGAATCTTCTCCAACATCACAGTTTGAAAGCATCTATCGGGAAAGGTGTTAGACAGTACACATACGTGCCTGCTAAGCCACTTCAGTTGGGTCCAACTCCGTTCGATCCTTGGAATGTAGCTGGCCAGGCTCCTCTGTCCATGGGATTCTTCAGGCAAGAATAATGAAGTGGGTTGCTGTGCCCTTCTCCAGGGGATCTTCCCAACCCAAGGATCAAACTCGCGTCTCTTATGTATCCTGCATTGGCAGGCGGGTTCTTTACCACTAGCGCCACCTGGGAAGGGACTTAATACACACATAAGGTGCAACAATCTGTGATAACAATGAGTGAAATGATAACCTGGGAGGTTGGGGAGGCAGAATTCAGGGTTGATTTCCTTTAGGATTGACTGGTTTGATCTCCTTGCAGTCCAAGGGACTCTCAAGAGTCTTCTCCAACATCACAGTTTGAAAGCATCTATCGGGAAAGGTGTTAGACAGTACATATACGTGCCTGCTAAGCCACTTCAATTGGGTCCAGCTCTGTGCGATCCTTGGAATGTAGCTGGCCAGGCTCCTCTGTCCATGGGATTCTTCAGGCAAGAATAATGAAGTGGGTTGCCGTGCCCTTCTCCAGGGGATCTTCCCGACCCAGGGATCAAACTCGCATCTCTTACGTATCCTGCATTGGCAGGCGGGTTCTTTACCGCTAGTGCCACCTGGGAAGGGACTTAATACACACATAAGGTGCAACAATCTGTGATAACAATGAGTGAAATGATAACCTGGGAGGTTGGGGAGGCAGCTGACCTTAGATAAGGTGATCAGGTGAGGCTTATTTTCAGAGGGGACATTCGAGCTGCGAGCTGAGTGACAAGAAGCCGGCCATTCAGATAACTTGGGGACAGTGTATTCCAGGCAGAAAAAGCAGCAAAGGGTCTGGGGTGGAGACAATCCAAGTTCAAGGAACAGAGAGCTGCCAAGTAGTGAAGGGTGGGGAGAGGTGAGGCTGGAGAGGTGAATGGGCACCTGGTAGTGTGGGTTGTATGTGGCCTAAGGGCCGTAGGGAACCACTTCGAAGTTTAAGGCTGCGTGTGGTCTAATGATCCATTTAAGAAACTGGCTGCTTGGGACTTCCCTGGCTGTCCAGTGGTTAAGAATCTGAGCTTTCACTGGACTTGGCACGAGTTCGATCCCTGATAGGGGATCTGATCCCACCTGCCGTGGCCTGCGGCCATAAAAACAAAGAAAGAAAGAAAGAAATTAGTTGTTTTGGTGATGAAGGGAGGCAGCACCGCGAGCTGGATAACAGCTGATGTGCTGTCCTCCCAGTGGGAGAATGATGGAGACTGGTAGTGATGGAGATGGAGGGAAAAGGGTGGGTAGATGGAGAACAGGTTTGGGATGTAGAGTCAACAGGACTTGCCAGTGGGTTTAAGGGTAAGAGGGGGAGGGACCAAGGGAACTGTGAACATCTAGGGTGACTCCTGGGGTTTTACATAGTTGTATAACTGGCAGGTGCTTTGAAGGAAAAATTGGGGGAGTTTTGAAGTGCATGTTATGAGTGTGAAAGAGGAAAAAAATCTCTTGTTTCCCTTTACATTACTTTCTTTTTTTTTTTTTCTTTTCTTTTTGGCCATGCCCCCGCAGCATGTGGGCTCTTAGCTGAGCTTAGAGTCCTATCGTGGAGCTAGCACGTGGATCTGAAAGTCCTCATCCTGTGCTGGGTTCCTTTGAAAACCAGCCCCCATCCTGTGGTTTTAGCATAAACTCAGGAGTGGTTGTATGGGATTTTTTATGAATAGCAAAAGATGCTCATTTTACCTTTATTTCTGGTCTCATCACTTAGGAAATTCCAAAGGTTTTAGGAGCTCTGTGCCAGGAATATACATACTTTTCAACATAAATATATATTTCTTATAAATCACAGTGTCACAACGTAAAAGGTGAGTCAGGGACAGATTCCTGAAGAAGTGACATTTGAGCTGATTCGATACTAAGGACTGTAAGCACCCTTTGGGTCGATTGCTGTAGAAGGATGAGTAAGAAGCAAGATAGTCATGCTAAAAAAAAAGGATTGGTAACTGCTAAAAATAGCTGTTTTCTGCCTTCTGGTCCAGAGTAAAGAAAAAAAATATCGTTAGGGACATCCATCTAGGTTAGGGCTTTTGAGGTGTGAGCAGTGGTTTTCTGCAGCCATCAGTGGGTGCCAGTTCCAGGCTGGAATCCCTGGGTGTGGTCCTTGCTGATCTGGACCCTCTTCAGTCTCCTTTCCTGGGGAGGATGCCCTGTGGTATCAGTCTTCTTTGTGAAACCAAAAGCTGGAAGTGCTATTATGGGTTAGTCCAGAGGCCCCCTGCTCACTGAGATTCTCCCTATATCTCCCCTTGCTCTCCCTTTTTTAGGGGGGCTGAGGTTTTGCCTTTGGCTGGAGGAGGAAATGGAGAATAGTATTAGGGTACTGGAGGTTGTAGGCTAGAGCAGGGGTACCCCAACCTCTGGGATCTAATCCCTGCTGATCTGAGATGGAGCTGATGTAATAAGAATAGAAATAAAGTGCACAGTGAATGTAATGCTCTTGAATCATTCCCAAACCATCCCTCCCTCTACCCCTTTCCCTTGGAAAAATTGTCTTCCACAAAATTGGTCCCTGGTGCCAAAAAGGTCCAGGACCGCTGGACTGGAGGACAAATAATTGGTTATTCTATACAATTATTATCATGGCTTGAAAACATCTGTAAGTTTAATAGTCAAGGATTGTTGCTATGTTGGAGTTTTGGCTAGAGGAGACAGCGTGTGTGTGTGTGTGTGTGTGTGTGTGTGTGTGCGCGCGCGCGTTCCTCTCTCCATGGCATTCAGAGCTTTTGTTCATGGAAATCCTAATCTGGTTCCCATTACAGGTGGCATTCCCTTTTAGGCAGAGTATGTTTTAGAAGCGTTTTTCAGATCGCAGATTTGAAGAGGTGACATCTTGCTTGTGCATTGTCTTAATTACCATTGCCGGCGCGAATATCCATCTCACCAGCTAGCGAGCAGGTGAAGCTGGCTAGGTGGGAGGTGTCAGATGGATATTCAGTGGCAGCGAGAGGCCAGGGTGTGAAACGAGCAGTGTCGTTTTGGGGCATTTGTAACCCATGGAGAGCGGACAGCAGTACTGAGTTCCAGCGGCAGATGAGAGGCTGGTTTTGGAACAGAAGCAATTGGACAGAGAGGTTGAATAGCTTGGGGAAAATGGGCGAGTGAACAGTGAAGGGCGTTGGGGTGATTTTCTGTCCTTTCTCCTGTGAGTGCCTGGGAGACGGTAGGACAGGACCATGATGCACTGGAGGGGATGGCAAGGACGAAAGGACCCCTCCAGGCCACATCTGAGGTGTAGCTGGAGCCTCGTAACCCTTGCAGTTTTCTGTGAAAGTGATGCTACCCTCTCCCCCTATCTGTTGGTCAAACTCATCATCCTCATTTCTCATCCTTTGAGGAACAGGTGCCGCTCACGTCCTCTTTCTGGTTTATTATGAAAACAATATGCTTTCTTTATTCTTTAAATACAAAATTAGGCCATTCTATTTTTTTTTGCCAAACTATGCATCTCTTGCTCCCTGTCAGAGATTCGCGGCTCCATCTAAAGGCCGTGTCCCTGGATTGGTTGACTAGGGCGCATCTGCAAGAAAAATTCGGTCTCGCTTAGTTTTAGTAGATTTAAAAAAAATGAGTAAGTCAAAGAAAAACATTCTGTCTCATTGGTCTGCTTAAATGTGAAACGGGTTTGGAAATTTCCCAATGACAAAGTACATCTTTCAGGTCTATGTTATGCCACAGCATGTGATGGGTGAGGTTGGGAGGAGGGAGGGAGAGAAACAGGGTGGCAGAGGAGTCCCCACAAATGTCAGGTCCCCCTGCTGGCTGGCCCTCTATGCCTGGTGCATCCTTTTTACTACAGCATTGCCATGCTTTTCCCAAAGGGAAATTTACCAGAGGCAGAGAGTGATTGAACATTAAATACTCCAGTCTGTGCTCTGGTCTGTTTTTTATTTTTTTAAGATTTATTTATTTATTTGGCTGTGCTGGGTCTTGGTTGCAGCACGTGGCATATAGTTCCCTGACCAGATTGAACACAGGCCCACCCTCCTGCATTGGGAGCAGAGTCTTAGCCTTTGTACCACCAGGGAAATCCCCATACATATGATTAAACTTTTTCCTTTTTAAGAAATTGAGTTGAGAATATAACATAAAATTAAGCATTTTAAATTTGTAGTTCAGCAGCATGTACACCCACTATGTTGTGCAACCACTGATTTTTTTCTAGTTGGTAACCATTTTCGTCACCCCCAAAAGAAAGCCTGGTACTCATGAAGCAGCCACTCCCCAGGTCTCCCTCCTCTCGTTACCTGGCAACCACCAATCTGCATCCTCTCCCTGTGGCTTTACTCACTCTGGTATTTCATATACATGGAATCATAAATTATGTAGCCTTTGGTGTCTGGCTTCTTTTACTCACATGATGTTATCAAGGTTCATTTATGTAACAAGTATGAGGACCTCAGGACTGAGTAATAATCCATTGTGTGTCTATAACACATTCTGTTTATCCATTTATCCATTAATGGACACATGAGTTGTATCCACCCTTTGGCTATTGTGAATAACATTGTCTGAACCTTTGTGCATAAAGATTTGAATACCAATCTTCAATTCTTTGTGGTATGGCTGTAGCAGAGAAATTGCAAAGGTGACTGTAACTCTTCGAGAAACTGCCCAACTGTTCAAGTTGCGACTCAACTTTGATGTGTATCCTCCACCCTCACAGATCTTCCTTAACCTGTCCCCACTGCCTGAAACAGAGCAACACCTTCGACCCTTTCCTGTGCGTGTCCCTGCCCATCCCTCTGCGCCAGACAAGGTACGTGAGCATCATGCAGGTGAGCTTGACGTCCATCCTTTGGAACCTCTGGGCCCTGCAGCTGCAAAGTTCTCTTTTGCTTCTCAGCCAAGCCTTGCTTCTTGGGGACATCCAGTGACCTAATGGGATGATTCACATGAAAGGTTACTGAGTTCCTTCTTTAGCTGAAGAAGGAATTATAAACATGCTTTTGTTTATCTGCCCCATTGCCCGGCTTCCATCTTTGGCCAGTTTAGAAGCTGGCATGGGCCAGTTTATACCACTCAAACAGACAGAGGTGAACGAGAGAAAACTTGTCATCCTCTGCTTTCCCTAGCTTTATTTCCAAATCCTTTCTTCTCTTGGGGAAGGTGTAGAAAAAGGTTTATTTAAGGAGCAAAGGAAAAGGAAAAGGACTATTGGGAGATATGAGAAAAAAAGAAAAGAGGAGGCAGGATTAGGTAGGAGACATGATGAAGCTTGGCTCTGCAAAAGGAAGAAGCATATAGCACAAGCATCCCAAAAGCCCAGGTCTTGGCAGGGACTGTTAAGGCCACCGCCAATGTCAACCACATGGAAGCTTAGTGAATTCCTATATGGGGCATTTCTTCTCTGGGTTCCCCCGCTTTACAAAATCTTATCTCTTGCCTTCAGTCTGTTGATATCCTTCATCTTTAGGATGTGGTGAAGACTGATGGCTTTATAATGCATTTCCTAGCAACTGAACCCCCCTTCCTACTCTGAATTCCTGTGCTGCTGATTGTCAGTGCCATAAATATATTAATAACTGGCTTATCCTATCATGATATGATGGCCACTGATAGATATGAGCTGTGATTCCTGGTCAGATGCAGCATAGCACAATGGTTAGGACCACTGACTGGGGCCAGACTGCCTGGGTTCAGGTCCCAGCTCTGCTAATTATTTGTATGGATTAGATTATTACTGTAGTAGAGAGCAGGGGAAACAGGTGTTGGAGGGGTAAGCCCTGGTGTGCTGCTGGGTGTAGTAGACAGTGGAACTAGAGAGAGTCCAAAGAAGTTGGGGAGCAAAAGGGCTATACTCCATCACAAGGGAGAAATAACTTCAGGAGGAAAAGGGGAGCCTTGTCAGTAGTGTTCAGTTGTCCTGGAGGGAGAAGCTTGACTGCTCTACTTTTCAGACTTCAAAGTTTCTTTTTGCTTTAGATTATCTATATAGCAAGTAGAATCTTGAGACCATAGGTTGGAACAGATGGTCCCTGACTTACGATGGTTCCATGTACAATATTTTGATTTTACAATAGTATGAAAGTGATGTGCATTCAGTAGAAACTGTGCTTTGCATTTTGAATTTTGATCTTTTCCCAGCCAAGCAATGTGAGGTATGGTCCTCTCTGGGCAGGGCAGCACCACAGCTCCCAGTCCCGCCTGGTGATCATGAGGGTAAACAACCATACACTTAAAACCTCTCTGTTTTCCACCTTCAGCACAATATTCAGTAAATTACAGGGGCAATTCAAAACTTTATTATCATCAAGGCTCTATGTTAGATGATTTTGCCCAACTGTGGGCAAATGTAAGTGTTCTGAGAATGTTTAAGGTGGGGAGGGCTAAGCTATGATATTTGATAGGTTAGGTGTATTAAATGCATTTTTGACTTAAGATACTTTAAGCTATAATGATGTAATCCCATCGTAAGTTGAGGAAGACCTGTGTTGTGTGTGTGTGTGTGTTGTGATTCTTAATCAAATGTCTTTTATTTATAAGTCGCTGGAAAAGTGCACAGAACTGAGACCCTTGGGGAATTGGCTCTCCACTGCTGCCTGGTGACAACGTACCCGACCAGGAAGCCGAGATTTGCCCAAGTGCTAAACTTGGTCTAGTGTCAGTGATGTTGGTGACAGCCCATGTCCGTCCTTTAAGGATGTGGCCTCCTTCCTATTTTCCAGATTCTTGAGCGTCACCTTGGTCTTCCCCTCTAAGAGCCAGCGGTTCCTGCGGGTGGGCCTGGCCGTGCCGATCCTGAGCACAGTGGCAGCCCTGAGGAAGATGGTTGCAGAGGAAGGTGGCATCTCTCCAGAGGAGGTGTGATGGGGGACCTGGGAATGGGATAAGGGATACTAACTGCGCCAGCTGTCTAGGCTGTTTAGGCTAATTTTTGGCTCTCAGTGACTCCAATGTGACTCATGAGTTACTGTTTGATTAATAGTCCCTGATGTCTGTGATGACTGGGCCTAGACCGCTCCCTGCTTTTTCACAAAATAACCCGGAAAGGAAATCACCTTTGTCTTCCAAAAAGGTGACGATGATGACGATCATCATCCTTTCAACAATAGCTGACTCTCAGTAGTACTTCTTAAGTGCTGAGCACCACTCTATGAACTTTATAGCTAGTTTCTCCCCACCATCATCCTGTGAGGCAGATATTACAATTATCCTCATTTTACCAGTGAGCACTAGGCAAGTATGACACAAGCTCAGCGACTGGGCCAGGATTTGAATGCAGATAGTGATTTCAGAACCTGAACCACTATTCTGTATTTTCACTGCTGAGAATATAAACCAGGAGACTGAAGAGGAGCTTGGGATGAGTACATGAGAGAGGTGATTTGGGGACAGTGGGATGGGTGTGCTCTGCTTATTTTTTTTTAGTGTCTTGGTAAAGAGTTTGGATTCACTGTGACTTTGGTGAGCAGACTCATAATAGGGTCTCCCATGAAAGGACGAGGTACAAGGGATGGTGGTGAAAAGCAACAAGGGAAGGCTTCAAAATGGGGTTCTAACTGTAATTCAGTCCCTTTCTAGTTTTCGGACCTTGGACAAAGTAATCAGTCCCCTGCTTCTTTCTTTAGTTTGTTGGTTTTTTTTTTTAGTTAAAAAAAATTTGTTGCCACACTATGCAGCATGTGGGATCTTAGTTCCTGACCAGGGCTCATGCCCACGCCTCCTGTCTTGGAAGCACACAGCCTTAACCACTGGACCTCCAGGGAAGTCCTGGTCCTCTGTTTCTTTGACTGTAAAATGGAAATTATATACTTCCATTGGTGTAAAATTGGTGACTTGGTGACCTCATGAGATTTTTTTCTGATTAAGGAATATTTTTAACCTTTTGGTTACAGAAGGGAATGGATATAAGAAAGTGTCCATCTTAAGGTTATAACTTAACTTGTGGACTTTTTACATGTGTGTATATCTGTGTAACCACCATGATAACAGAACCTTTCTATCACCCCAGTGGGCTCCTTCCTGCTTCTACCCAATCAATTCCTCTGACCTTTCTCACTATTTTAATAAAGATCTCAGTTGAAGGGAAAGATGTGTGTCTGTGTGCTCAGTTGTTGATTCCTTCCACACTTGAGGGGACAGAGTTGGATCTGGGGGTAGCCAGGACGCTCAAAGCAGTAGTCACCCATCTCCTCCACTACAAAACCAGCCTTTTCCACTCACCTCAGTGTTCCATAAAAATATTTCCCATGTCTGATACAATGTGAAAAAAGTTCACAATACTACTTAGAAGTTTTTTAAGTGGAGATCAGTTAGTGGGAAACACTCTCAATTTTTGTTTATCTGAAGTGGGCTTCATTTTAGGCTCATTCTATCAGGATAGTTTAGCTGGGTATAAAACTTTAGCTTTTCAATTTTCTTCTCCCCACTCTTCCTTTGGCACTTTGGTATTCTGTTGTTGTGGTTGAGATCCAAGTCTGTGTTAGTCTGACTGATGCACCTAGTGTTATATTACAAAAAATAAGTAACCACTTGGAAGGAAAATGTAGAAGAGAGGTTTCAGGCAATTGGTCATTTTTAGACTGCTTCTTTGTTAAGTTCCCTTTGAGAAACAAAGGGAAAATGATCCTTTTCATTCCAGGTGATCTTGGTTGAACTGTATCCCAGTGGACTCCAGCGGTCTTTCTTTGATGAAGAGGACCTGAATACTATTGCAGAAGGAGATAATGTCTATGCCTTCCAAGCTCCCCCATCACCTGGGCAGGAGATGCTCTCAGGTACAGTAGTGCTTTGCAAAATTTTATTTGGATATTATGAATTATAGGTTTGAGAGAATACCTACTGGGTGCTAAGGCATAAGATATTCAGTTTTAGTACTTGGAAATATCAGGCTTATTTTCTCTGATATTTGTTTTACAGATGATTCATTATTAAAAATCAATCAACTAATACAGGAATTTTCAAAACCTTAGTATCAGAATCATCTGGAGAGCTTGTTTAAGTAGATTTCTGAACCCTACCCACAGCACTTTTGATTCAGTAGGCCAGGGGTGGGGCCTGAGAAATTACTTGTCTGATAAACTCTGGTGATATATCAGGTCCTGGGACCATGTTTTGAGAACCACTATTCAGAATGGGACTTGCCTTGTGGCTCAGATGGTAAAGCATCTGCCTACAATACAGGAGACCTGAGTTCGATCCCTGGGTCAGGAAGATCCTCTGGAGAAGGAAATGTCAACCCACTCCAGTGCTCTTGCCTGAAAAATCCCATGGATGGAGGAGCCAGGTAGGCTACAGTCCATGGGGTCACAAAGAGTCAGACACAATTGAGCAACTCACTTTCATTCAGAATGGGTACTGGAGTAATCTTTGTCTTCAGGAGTCTTATGGTTCAAGGTCAGTGCTTAAAGTTATAGCAACCTAGATGTGCATTGACAGATGAATGGATGAAGAAGTTGTGGTATACATACACAATGGAATGTTACTCAGCCATAAAAAGAAACACCTTTGAGTCCATTCTAATGAGGTGGATGAACCTAAAACCTATTATATAGAGGGAAGTAAGTCAGAAAGAGAAAGATAAATATTATATTCTAATGCATGTATACAGAATCTAGAAAAATGGTACTGAAGAATTTATTTACAGGGCAACAGTGAAGAAGCAGACATTGAGAATAGACTTATGAGCATGGGGAGAGGGTGAGATGTATGGAAAGAGTAACATGAAAACTTAAATTACCATATGTAAAATAGATAGCCAACGGGAATTTACTGTATGGCACAGGAAGCTGAAACAGGGGCTCTGTATCAACCTAGAGGAGTGGGATGGGAAAGGAGATGGGAGGGAGGTTCAGAGGGAGGAGATATATTTATATATGGCTGATTCATGTTGAGTTGAGGTTTGACAGAAAATCACAAAATTCTGTAAAGCAATTATCCTTCAGTAAAAAATAAATTAATTTAAAAGAAAACTTATAAACCGGAGTAGTAGATGGTCAAAGAGGTTATTAAATGACATTTTGTTAACAGTCTCACTTTCCTGTGTTTACTTTTCCTAAACTTTGGATAGGCAAAGATGGTCAGTTTATGGCAGCCTTTCATTGTAGGTCAGTATACATTTTGGTTCAGTTAACCGGTCAAGAAGACTCATATTAGAGCACCTTGTGCCAGCGTCACCATGTTCCGCAGATAAGTCCTTTGCCCCAGACTGGATCCTTGGCCAGCATATGTGGCAGAGTGGCTGCGCGAACCAAGTATCTGCAGTCACTCTGAGTCACTGGAGAGACTCTGGGTGTGGAACCTGAAACAAAACATTGACAGGCCCTGATTACTTGATAACTCAGTGAAACAAGCCCTCATTTCAAATTTAATCACAGGTCACACGTGTGTGCCTTAAAAGTAAAATTTCAGAGCTGATTGGAAATTGAGGATGGTCCAATTCTTCTACTTTCTCAATGACAAAGATTTTTGCATTCCCTCTGTTCTTCTTATGTTGGCTTTCTAAGAGAGTAGAAACTCTACAGCTCTCTGATCAAAGCATACAAGCAACCAAAATCATTTTGGTGTATTTTTCAGATTGGTTTTGAAAAGTGTTGATTAAAATCTCTGTATTTTAAAATTGGCTGAACACAGCAGCAAGTTCACTACCGTGTAGATCCTCTTCTTGCACCAGTGGCACATGTACCATGAGCTTTAATATTGCTTTCCCTGAAGCCCTCCAGTGTCTCCCATGGGTGGTTAATAGATGCTCAAAGAGAAGAGGGGCTAGAAGCCAGCGTTCTGACCCAGCATAGTAGCTCCTTTAAGAACACAAATGTAATTCTTGATTTTCAGCTCGTCCATCTGGTCTGCTGGTCTCCCCGCGCTTGGCAGCCCGTGAGGGTCAGCGATTATCCCTGCCTGTCCACAATGAGACCACGGTGCTAATCCTCTTCTGTAATTTGGTGGGCTCGGGGCAGCAGGCCAGCAGGTATGTTTAACTTTGTCTTTCTTTCACATGATTTCTAGGGTGTGTCTACATGTACTTGGAATTTGAGCTAGAATAATTCTAATTTGAAAAAGATTACATATCCATTCTTCAGGTTGATCCACAAGGAGTAGGGTGTAAGGTGCTTGCTGATCAAAGGATCAGAAGTGATGGCCCTCAGCAGATGGCTAACACCATGCTTAACAACTAAGTATCTGAGGTTTTCCTGTTGGTTTTAGGAACAATGATAACTGGTTTCATCACTTTTTTTTTTTTAATTTATTGGCTGTGATGCATGGTGTGTGGGATCCAACTGAGTGAAGCCAATGAGTAGAGTCAACACTGTTGACTCTTGGGTATTGTTGGTTTTTGTTTTGCTGAAATAACCTCATATACTTGGATTTCCAGGTTTGGGCCTCCTTTCTTGGTAAGAGAAGACAGAGCCATTTCATGGATCCAGCTCCAGCAGTGCATTCTCAGCAAAGTCCGATACCTCATGAAGAGCGAGGTCCCCATACAGGTCAGTGTGTGTGTGTGTGTGTGGGGGGGGTAGGAATCTAGTGGTAGCTCAGGAGAGACAAGAATTTGGCATCAATGACAACATTCACATTGTCATATCAAACAACTTTAATTTTTATGCAAGAAAAATCACCATTTCATGACCTGTGCCATCCCTCTCTTTGTCACATTACCAGAGACATTTCAGAGATGGAGCTTTTGCTTGTTAAATCTTTCAAAACACCACTGGGGCCTTCCCTGCTGATTCAGTGTCTAAGGATCCATTCTCCCAGTGCAGGGGGCAACAGGTTTGATCCCTGGTCAGGGAACTAGATCCTACATACCACAGCTAATTGTTCCCATGCTGAAGCAGAAGATCTAGCATGCCTCAACCAGGAGAAAAGATCCCAGAGTTGAAACCCAGTGCAGCCAAACAAGTAAATTTTTTTTTTTTTAAACTGGTTCTAAGAAAGAGTGGAATTCACATCATTTGTTTGTGGCTTCCCATAGTTCTTCCTGGAGGGAAACTTGTTGTAATAAACTGTAATGTAGACATTTGAACCAAAAGTTTCAATGGATTTGCTTCCTGTTGCTCTCCACCTAAAACTATCATAATATTGTTTATCAGCTATACTCCAATGTAAAAAAAGAAATGAAAAACAGTTTTAAGGGATTTGAAGTATTCTGTGGAAAACTAAAATTGATGTTTATGTCCATACATGAGAATATAGATATTCAAATAATTTTGTCCAATTTTTGAAAAACATATGAAAAACTCCAAGAAGGAACACCTTTATGCCTTGCTCATTTATTGATTCTCAGACTGGTTCAGTTCAGTTCAGTCACTCAGTCATGTCTGACTCTTTGCGACCCCATGGACTGCAGCACACCAGGCTTCCCTGTCCATCACCAACTCCTGGAGCTTACTCAAACTCATGTCCAAAGAGTCAGTGATGCCATCCAACCATCTCATCCTCTGTCATCCCCTTCTCCTCTCACCTTCAATCTTTCTCAGCATCAGGGTCTTTTCCAATGAGTCGGTTCTTCTCATCAGGTGGCCAAAGTGTTGGAGTTTCAGCTTCAGCAACAGTCCTTCCAATGAATATTCAGGACTGATTTCCTTTAGGATTGACTGGTTGGATCTCCTTGCAGTCCAAGGGACTCTCAAGAGTATTCTCTGACACCACAGTTCAAAAACATCAATTCTTCAGCACTCAGCTTTCCTTATAGTCCAACTCTCACATTCATACATGACTACTGAAAAGACCATAGCTTTGACTAGATGGACCTTTGTTGGCAAAGTAATGTCTCTATTTTTTTAATAAGCTCTCTAGGTTGATCATAACTTTTCTTCCAAGGAGCAAGGGTCTTTTAATTTCATGACTGCAGTCACCATCTGCAGTGATTTTGGAGCCC